GAATCACTTGTTCTCGGTTAATAGAGTCTCGGTGGGAGAGTCACTCCTGAATTAGCTTGGCAAGGCACTGTGGAAAAGCCTTGCAGGACGTCACACGGCCCATCTGTCGGAACAAACACGCTTGCCGCTCAGTTTTGGCTTCTCATACAAAAGCACTGCGTCCTACTACCCAAATAAATACTATAAGTCCTCTATTTCCAAATATTCAACAAATCTACCATCTAAGCGTAATCCAGTTACCTGAACACTGAACTCTGCAAACAGTAAACAGTGCTCTGAAGCTGCACAACAGTAGCTCACTGTATTATGTAATAGGTTATGTCAGTAGGTCCTTCCTGTCCCAACTACTATGTTTGCAGATAAAGCTGAAACAACAGCTGACGTGACAGAAAGTTGACTAGCAGCAAGACTCTCCACATGGTCCAATATGTTTGACCACTGAGACTGTATGATGTTCTCTGCCTGCCGCCTCACTCTGAGTCATCAGAGGACACAGAAGCTCATTTAAAGCTCTTCTCCTCCACTGAAACTACTGAAAACTCTTGGAAGGGGTTAATCTCATTTGGAGAGAGGGAGAGAGAGTGGACACAAAGAGAAATGTATCAATTCTGCACTTTTTCAAACCCTGGTTTTTAAAATTTCAAACTTTTTATTACATATGTTTTCTATTCTAGTTTGTCTGTCTTAGCTTTCATTTTTCCACTATTATTCACATTTTTATTTGACTTGATATCACTATTGTAATTTCTATTATTATTATTATTATTGTTGTTATTATTATTGTAGCATTCATTGCTATTAAAAGAGACACAGAGTTTGCACAAGTTGTGGTGCTTTATTCTCCAGTTGTTATGGGCCACAGCCACACTGTACATAAACAGAGTCTCTCTCTAGTAGTTCGCCCTATGACTCAACCCCCGTCTGTCCCTGTCTGACAGCTTAAGCAAACTCACACACACACACACACACACACACACATCCCTCCTGTGGTTTCTGGCCCCACCCCCCCACAATAAGATCTTAGCAAAATGTGCAATAAATGCAAGAAATACTAGAGGATGCATAACCTGAAACTAACATCTAAAAGCATTTTGTGAACATGCTACATTGTTATTATTATTATTATTATTATTATTGACTCTGAAACCTATCTTGAACACACGTAAAATCTTAACTATGAGCATTAGTGGGTCGTTTTTCCTTCCAAGAAAACCAACCACTCACAAAGAAATAATTACTGGCAATTACCGACTATGACCACTTTTTAGTCAGTGAATCTAAACTAATAAAGAAACTTTAAATTCATGATCAGAGGAGTATTGTTGGACAAACAATATCAATCAGCGAACAACATCAGTCACAATTTTAATTCCCCACACACCACTGACATAATGCTTCTTGTCGCAATTACTCCCACACTACTCTAGCAGACTACTGAAAATACAGGCAGGTGTGTGTTTCAGTGTGTTGATGTATATTTCACATATATCCTGAAAGATTTTATTTACTTTTCCATGTATTACTGTTTAAACTATAGTTAACTTTAGAGTTAGGTTAAGGTTTCAGCTCATAAAATTCTTTTACACATATAGTTCAATATTGTTGCTGTTATAACCGAAATAGTAACTTTAGAGGAGAAGGAAAAACTTCCTTAACTTTCTTAACTGTAATGTGTGTTAATGTAGCAAGATTTTTCAGATTTGTATTGGTGCATTTATCATGAGATGCATAAAAGCTGGTGTTCTCAGAAAAGTAGACTGAGAAACAGACCTCAACATCACTGAATGTGTTTGGGATTACTTGGATCGTGAGAAACAGAAAATGCAACCAACTTCTAAGACTGAACTTTGGAGGTGTGAAACATGACCCTGCAGATTTCTTTAAAAAGAATGATAGCTATAACAAAGGAACAAGGGTGGACACACTAAATGCAGATTATATTTAGTTGTTGAGGCTTCTGTGTAATATTTTGTTACATATACGTTCTGTTTTTTTATCTAATCCTAAAAATTGAATAACTTAATGGAAAAATTAAGTGCTCAATTGGTTGCTGCCTGGAAATTCAAAAAAATGAAGGATGCTGTATGACTTTTATTGCTGCACAGTGCTGTGTGTGTGAATACATATACATATATATATTTATACAACAGTTAGTTCCGGCATTCTAACTGTGCTGATATTTTGCCATAACATCACAGGTTTTTCACAAACACTGTATCACTCTGCTAAGATGCCGTTGCTAAGCAACGAGTTTGACAGCTGTAGGAGACACTCAAGCCATTTGAACGTTTTTACTTCTTACTTTACGCACAAACAGAAAATGGATACTTTTAAGATCATATTTGACCTACAGCCGTTTTGGTCCGACTCTGAAGATGACACTACACTAATTTCCGAAACTGTCATCAACACTGAGCAGGGTTTTCAGTCGGCAACAGTGACAGAAGAACAACTAAACAACCTGGAATTAGCCAGAAATGAACCAAATACCATTTGCCAAACGTGTAGTCTCATCTTCAGAGCCTGACCAAATCGGACTGAGCCATACACAAAAAAGCTTGCTCAGTGGTAATGACAGATTTTGGAATTTAGTGTAAGGAGCTGGGGAATGAACTGACTGAGCGGAGCTCATTACTCTGATGTAGCAACAAGCTGCTTGTTAAGGAACTATAATTTGGCGGAAGAAATTGCGGAAATTATTTATTTAACTGTTGTATAAAAGCAATAGAACACTCAAGGTCGTGTGTTATCGTGGCTGTGATGATATACGGCGACCAAATCACAGCCGTGATGTGATTTCGCTATAACACACTTCCCCTCGTGTTCTAGTGACCTGTCCAGGTTGTATCCTGCCTTCCACCCAATGTCTCCCCCCGCGACCCAGGATAAGCGGCTTAGAAGATGTGTATGTGTGTGTGTGTATCAATATCTATATATCTACATATATATATATATATATATATATATATATATATATATCAAATTACGTTTGTTTGATTTTCTAAGTGAAATTAACTCAACCTGTCATTTGTTCTTCAAATTTTAGTACACAATTTCTATTTATTTTGAATATTCGAAAAACAATTACATAAAATGTAAAATGCAACTTTCTTCTGCACACATGTTAAATTCAGCAAGTCAAGTAATTGTGCCTTAACATTAGCCCATGTACTGACACAGTACAAAAACAAACGTATGTTTGTGTGAAAGAGAACGAAAGCAGCATGAAATCAGCTCCACATTCTAACTCCCCTTCCTGACAGGGATACAGGATAATGGTGAGAGACACGACGAGAAAAGAAAAAAAAATCGAATCTGATGATGATCCTCGCTGAGCGCGTGAGCTGCTGGAAGGGCACGAATTATTCATCCACTCCACTGCAATAGAAACTCCAAACAAGAGAACACAGCCATTTAAAAAGCATATAATGTACACCAAGAACATCCACACTAACATTTACACTATTTATGTTGCTAATGCTAATGAAAACAAAATTCAATAAAATAAAGATTAAACAAAGCTGGAAAAAGGGTCACAATGAAAATGCAAAAACTACAGTAGGTTACATAAGCAATCAAGTTAGTGGAAGCAAATCTGGGTGGTGAGCTTTGAGCATGGGAGCAGAGGAGTGAGTGAAGAGGAGCGAGGAAGGAAAGATGAGAGAGAGAGAGAAAGAGAGAGCGAAAGAGAGAGAGAGGGCGGGCGACAGTAATGCCATTCTAATCCGCGTTTTTAAAGCCCTCTGATTCACTAAAGCAGATTAGCGAGGTTTCACTTCCCCCTGGATCAGCTCGCCGGCCCTGATCAAATGTGTCATTAACTTTTGTCATGTAAAGTCATACTATTGGACCTCAAAGCTCCTTAGCGATCAATATGCGTCCATGATGTACGCAAAAAAAACGGAGTGAAAAAAGACAACGGGACCATGCCCATATATACACTCTGATGTGCAAACGCTAGGCCTGTGCTTGGTGATGGTTAATTGAGTTACCATGGTAACAGTCCTCAGTGATAGTAAAGTTCAGAAAAAAAATGTTGCTCAGTTATTGATTCACTTTGCAAAGCACAGCAAAACAGCAGTATTCCCATACTTAAGGCCTTTACACATAAGCTAAGCGGCCACAATCTAAAGATTAAACTTTGCTATACAAAGGTGTGAGGCTTCATATGAAGATATGAAGCCTCACACTGAAGATCCGAAATGGAGGAAACACTAATTTTAGTGTCTAAGCATGACCCTTAAAATATCAGCTTATTGAACAAAAAATAAAAGAAATTATTAGCCCAGGTTTATGCTAGAAGCGATGCTTCACGACTACAAAGCAGAATATTTCTGCATGCTTTTGTTTCTTACATGGCAGGCACAAGTGAAGAACATCAACAGGGCTTTAGGTACATGCCATTCATAGCAAGCAGCACAGAATAGACTCGAAGATTAAAACTGCACATAATCCACATATGACTGCTACTGTTTTTACTTTCTTTTTTGGGGGGAGCCAGGACCTTTACCAGCCTCACCCTGTCCACAACTTAAGTTACTCAGAAGAGAAGAGAGATGAAAAAAGAAAAAACTGTTTTAAAATGTCTCATAGCTTTCCATGTTTGAGAATCTATTGTCCTTTCCTTTTCATTTCCTTTAAAATAAATTTATAAACAGAATCACTTGATACAAACTGCTGAGTAATGGTCATTCTACACTGAGTTGTCCACTGATTTCTACCATGCATGGCCATTAAAAAAGTCCACACTGATTAACACAGGAGCGCACCACAAACGTCAGTGCTGCTGCAGGCAGCTGTGAAGCCTACATCTGGTTTAAAATGCACTTCCCCTAGCTGTGCTGTCATGGTAAAAGAAAACAATAAAAAATTATAAAAAATAAATGAATATAAAGGCATGATGTTTGCAGCCCTTCCCATATAGTAACTGTTTCAGAGGTTTTCTTATAACAGTGACAAAACACTTCTCTTATGAGATTTTTCTTGCTACAGGTCATTACCTGGGCAGAAACTTGAGCTGGGCATGGAAGCTGGACTTGGCCTGGATAAAGCCAGTTTTAGGCAGGATCTTCATGTGGTTCTTCAGCTCTTTACACACCTCAAATGTCACTTTGAGGGCCGTACTGGCTCTGAAACACAAACAAATGCTGGAATGAATGAAGCATTGCCACATACTAATTAACTCAATTAACCTATTAAAAAGTAAACCAGAGAAAGGGTGACAGCAAAAGCAGAATCTGTATCTTGCCGTAAGCCCCATTAATTGTTTGGATACCAGATTTTCCCTGCTACATTTGCCTCCCTGTTCTCCACTGCAAAGCCTGTTTACCAGATGAGCTGCACTCCAAGTTTTAGCCTTGTTATACAGGCATGTGAATGGGAATAAAAACAAGAGTGCACTGTACAAGTGCCATCTCTGTCCATTTGCACACCTGTCCACCATGTTTCTGTAGGGAATATCTCATTTATTTGAACTCCAGTTGAATGGCCCACACACAACTGCTTCAGGCAAGCCGAACATCTACTCAGAAAAGTACACTCAGCAAGTGCACACAAGAGCCACCTGATAGCTGAGGACATTAATAGCTCCACATACTGTATAACAGTCTCCATCCTTGCCATTATTGAGGTGACCCAATTTTGATGAAGAATCCAGAGGCGGGTTGTGCCTTGTGGCAAGGAGCTTCCAGATCGAGGGATATAAATGGTGCTCCATCTCGGGAATTCTCCACAGAATTCCGACTACGCACACCTACAAGTGCAAGCAATGAGCCAAGAGCTTACGGCTCTCTATGACTCACTACCAATGCCTGCGTGGTAATTTCTCAACTTACATAAAAGGGTTTTGATGATGCTTTTGATTGAGGGGGCCTAAATAAGTACAGCTAAGATACTCCTACAGTACTGACAGCACTGCCAGATATCATGAATACAACTTGCTAAATTTGTAGCTTGATAGCGCAATTTCAATACACAGTGCACACTGGCCCATGAAGGTCTGTTGTAGAGGTGTACGAATATTCAAACTGCTCATGAAGGTGTTATGCGTACATCATGAATATGTAATGAAGTCCTTGCGTAGTGCCCTTCAAGTCAGACTCCTCTACAATTCCTCAAGGGAGACAGACTGGATATTTCAGTGATGAGGAGCCAGAAATTCCCTGACATTGCAGTATGCTGTCAGCACCTCATTTTCCAGCCTCCGGTAAAGTGACCCACATAGTTGAACACTCAACAGATGGGCTTGTGCTGCAGGCAAGGGCAGTGGCAGTCCATGGATATAAATGGTAAACCTTCTTGGAACGTTCTGCCTCAGTCACAGATCTACTTCGGACAGACTTTCAGGCACTAACACAGTGAATTTTGCTTACAATTTTGCTTACATATTATTACACATTCGCTAGTTCAGCCAAAAATTGAATTATGTGCCATAATCTTTAAAAACAGACATACAGATATTTCAATGTATATTAGTATAGTACAGAGCAGTGCTGTCAAACAATAAATCAAAAAAATTATCACAACTAATCACATTATTTATTTGTAGTTAATTGTGATTAATCGCATTTGTCTTGTTTTCACAAACTTGACCTGAACAATTTGAAAAGCAGTGCATTTTGTTATAGCTATATGAAGGAAACTAAAATAAGTTTTATCAAATTGTATTTATTACTTTCAGTAACATTATTTTTATCACGTGAACCAGATTTCCTCATGGAGAGTTTATATATATCTCAGATTCATACACTTTTTAACCATTAAAATATCAGGCTTGTTATATACTAAGGCTTACATACTAAGGTTACAGAAGTGTGTAACAAATTTTTTGGCCCACCGGCGGACCCTGGTCATGTAAGGGGTTAAACAGTTTAATGCCATGACTTTCTCAAGAAATAAAATTTAAATGCCGAACATTTAGTATAGGACATATTTTTCATTACTTTTCCAGACCTGGAAAATGACATTTCTATATTACATGACTTTTCAAAGATTTTCATGACTGTACGGAGCCAGGGAAGCTGTATTTAAACTAAAAACCAATAATTGCAGATTCTATCATAGCAAGACATATTGCCCAAGCAGCTGGGCTTCAACCTGGACTAATGAAGAATGGTCTAACTAGGACAATGCATTGCTGGTATTAAAATACTGGTGTCATTAATCATGTATCATGTTATAGCAGTAGAGTACAGAGTACAGCTATAGCATCTATATTTTTTTTATTTCTCCAGTGAAAAACCATTACTTGGCTGCAGTGATGTTAAGACCTGTGGCCAATTATATGAAACCACAGAGACTCAAAGCTGCTCACCAGTCTAGCAATTTATAATACTATGGCAGCCGCTGACAAGCACAGTTTTGGTCGCTGACAAAAGAAAGAACAGCAAACTGCAACAAGTCAGTCACAAACATCAAAAAGAAAAGAAGCTGTCTTCAATCATCTAGAACACATAAATGCCACGGCAGGCCTGGGAGGGAGCTCCACAACAGAGAAAATGAAAAGTTCACGTTGGGCCAGGAATTGACTTTAGTTTTGATTATAGTCTTCTTATAGTCCCTCCAAAGATAACTGATCTTAAAGTAACAATCAAATGCACTTATGCTTCATGTTTATTCTGTAGCAAACATTTAAATAATTAGGTTTCAATCATTCTCCACAATCTATAAATAGTGTAGTAAATTTATAGCATAGCATATATCATGATTTAGTGTACTTGCGTATTTTTTTCAATTAAAATCATTGTGGGTGGTTACGTAAACCTAACTTTGTAGATTAACAGTGGTATTATTCTTGGATGTCCCTTCACTTTTAATAAGAACCATATTTAACAACTGACTTAAATCTAAAATATTCTTATTGGGCAAAATAGTAAAGACAGAAATCTAATATATTCTTATCAGGCAAAATAGTAAAGACAGAAATTAAGAATATAAAGATAGATGCCAATATTGCTTTCTAGCCCTAAATAGATAAGGATGAGTGCATGTAAGCATGCATCAGCTTCTCTGAGCCCAGCAAAAACAGTGCTAATGGTGTTTTATGTCCAGATTCCTTTCATTTCATACATGCATTTACAAGTGTCAGACACTGCTGAAATTAGGTAAATATTACAAGCCACTCACGCCATCAATATTAGTTAAGAAGCTGCGGAGCCTCTCAAATTCAGCAAGGACCAGGAAGAGAGACCACAGGATCACCTGAAGCAGTTGGCCACCAGAGGGGTTTCATAGGCGGTGCGGATCCAAGCTAGCCTAATGGTTAATGGGTAGCTCCAAAAGACTGGCTTTTACTTTCACTGTCTTTTCCCCCTTTAACTCATTACATTCCGATGTCCGCTCCTTCAACAACGAACTGGACTAACTGACTAACTCAGACTGCAACTCGCTACACGGGAGGTGAGATACATGTTTTGCATTTGTCTGTATGTTGGCATATGACACTGACACCAAATAAAATCTGTTATGATAGAACATGTCTTCCATGACATGTTTATGGCATGGTTATGTCCATGTAATGCACTATCCCATGCAAAAAAATGGCAAAACATTAAGCTTTTAATGGTCTTAAAAAATAATTAATCAAATTATTATTTTTATATATTATATATATATTATATATTAAAACAAAAACTATATTAAGTTTACTAAAGTAACATAGAATGTGGTAACTTTTCCCTTTGACTTCTTTAAATGTTGAAGTTTTGTGTGTAAATTTGCAAACAATCTTTTACAAAAAGTCAGTATTTTTCCACTCAGCATTGATGGCTTCAAACAGTCAAAAAACATTGCCGAGCCAGTTGGTGCTTAATGTGAGAACAAATATTCTCTATATGATTTAAATACAGACTCTGACCAGCCCAGGTTATTCTGGCCAAAACTTGCATTTAGCAGAATTCTTAGCTCTTTAAAATCGATACTGAAATCAGTTAAAAAAAGATTGAAATCGTTTAAGCCCTAGCTTGCACCCACAGACTCCCCAAGCTGATGTTGGATGAAACATGTTGCAAAGACTTTCAAATCTAGCAAATAAGGGATCTACATAACTCTTTGGAAGGGAAGAAATGGCCACCCTCAGGCCTCTACTCCTGACACGCTAATACTCATTAGTGGCTGAGCGCGCCTTGCTTCTGGCAGTAGTGTCACTATCAGTGCCTGGCAGGTCCAGATGGCGGACGTAGTGTGTGTCCTCACAGTTACTGTGTGTATGCGTGTGCGTGCCCTTTAGCTCTTTCACACACTCCCGAAAGTCCGTCCGAATTATTCTTCCATTACTTCTGTATTCCATCTCTATGCTGACATAATACTGTGTATAAAGCTGCTGCTGTCAACCCACTTAGCGTAGCCGTAGCTCTGGGAGGAAGACTTGGAGGATTTTCAGAGGCTTTTTTAATATCTCTATATTAAGAATTCTGCAGCCCAAATTCAAAAGCAGCTCACAGGGAAAGAAAAAGGGGGCAGAGCACTGCTTCAGCCACATGGGTGAGTGTACGCGCCTGAGGTGTGAATACACTAAACACAGGACATTTATCACCCTGAAAGGAGGGTTTTGTTTGTGGATATGGGCGGGGAGAGGGGGCGTACAGCGTACAGTCATATGCAAAAGTTTTGTTGAGGCATGCTTTGTTGATTTTCTAAGAAAAAAAAAGGTTAACACATCCTCTACAGCGAATAAATTTAAATATTAAACTAAATTTGCTGAGTTTAACATATTGGAAAAAAACACATCCAAAACATAATAATAATAATAATACTACTAATAATAATATTAATAATAATAATAATAATAATAATAATAATAATGTGCCACAAGAGAGAGAGACAGAAAGATAGAGAGAGACAGACCAAGAGAGAGAGAAAGACACACAGTGTGAGAGAGAGAGAGAGAGAGAGAGAGAAAGAGAGTGAGAGAGAGAAAGAGAGAGAGAGAGAGAGAGAAAGAGAGTGAGAGAGAGAGAAAGAGACAGACAAAGAGAAAAAGCAAGAGACAGGCGGGGTGAGAGAGAGAGAGATAGAGAGAGAGAGAGAGAGAGAGAAAAAGAGAGAGGGAGAGGGGAAGGCAGAGAAAGACAGGGATAGAAAGAGACAGAGATAAAAAGACAGAGATAGAGAGAGAGAGAGAGAGAGAGAGAGAGAGAGAGAGAGAGCAGGGGAAAAGCCAAAAGATGAGGCCTGTTAAAGCAGGCAGAGGTGACAGGATGAAGGGCTTATTTTGAGCGTTTTTTAGACAGCAGAGCTACAGTATGTGTCAGCCCTTCCTGTCAGAAGCTTTAAACAGAGTTCAGTCCTTCGCCTTAATTTAAACACTTTAATCATGTGGTGCCTTTTACAGTATTTGGAAGGCACACATTGAGGGTTTTTCCATTTTGTCACGAGATCAAGACTGTTGCGTGACACTGCAAGTAAACAAATATCGTGGGCATCCTTTTAAGTGGATCTGTGTGTGTGTGTGTGTGTGTGTGTGTGGAGGGTGCAAATACACACAGTCATCAGCAAATGCAATGATCTGATTGAGTTCCAGATGGCTACAGCACCAAATCCAGCAATATGATGTGAACTCACATCCACACACACCATCACACACTAACACCCACTCACATTCACAACTGTAAAATTATAAATTCACTCAATTATTTACTGAATATGTAGGTAAAATCTGGTAATTTCACGTGTAAGACAATGTAATAAAAACACTTTTTTACACTTTTATTTCTATGCCTATAACAACATCTGATACCTAAAGCAGGGATGCCCAGCTTTTTTTGTCTAGGGGATCCTTAGTCTGTCGTGGGCCAGGGGCCAAAAAGACAAAACAGTATACAAATAAACAAGGTAGTTCCAGTTATGAGTGCGGACCCATGCAGTCCTCACTGAATTCTGCGCTGTACCACCTCTTCTCAATCTATGAATCCAGTTGCTCACCCCGCAGGTGTTTATAGCCCGATCATCCTTGTGCAACACCATCTGCAGGAGCCTGAAGTTACTACCACCTTAAACACGCAAGGTGACAATTTTTTTGTCCAGGTAGCTTATTCATGAATACTTTTTCTTCAAAAGTACTAGTCCCATATCATTTCCACTGGTACAGTGACAGTGCAATCAGTGTCAATTACATGGTATCAAGAGTTGCAGTTTTTTCAGACTTTTAGGGCAGCTCAAACACTTTTTTAAGTTAAGTTTTTACAGTGTAGAGGTCCTGAGGCAAATTCATGATGATTTAGGCATGTAGTCTGCACTTTGCTAGTTGGTAGATATAAGCTTCCATTGTGTGCTGGCTACATTAGCTTTGAAACTAAAGTCCTGCTATAGATCATAAATTCTGTAAATTCACTTTTTTTGTAAACTACCACTTTAAGGATCCAAAATATCTGTGGCTGACCTCACCTGCTTTGAACTTCAATGCTGTCCTGGTAAAGACGATCGTACATGCAGATTCTCAGGTCCATGCTCGGCTTGGTCACCCACACAGGAACACTCTCTGCTACACCGCGGGCTGACACCACAATCTGTTCACAAAAACATGGGTGTCGTCACTGTCTGGTAAACAACACAAAACACAAAGTTCTGATTTTCCAATACTCCTTACCGCTTCACAGTCCAGTTGTGAGAAGGTGATCTGGATATCTAGCTTGGTTTCCCCTGGAATGGTCGGTGTGAAAACGATGGGCAGTTTGACACTAGCGAATGGGCCCACCTCGCCCTCATGCACCTGATAGGGTAGGAGGAAAGTACTAAGTACCTGGGTAACTTGGTAACATAGCTTGGAGTATCCGTATGACTATTATATAAACAGTATATAAGAGAAGCTTTTAAGTGATTGAGCGGATAAGTGGTAACAGTTCTCCAGTAGAGTATCAGTAACACTTTCTATGAATATCATGTCCATAACAATGCAGGAACACATTCATAACATGTTATAATGCATTCATAAGGCATTATAAACATGGGTATAAATATTTATAAAAATGCATTACCCCTTGTAGAAATGTTTATTGTTGAAACTCCCGGTCGCAGCTCGCGTATTTTTAAAAATGAAACTAAAAAACTTTTGCACTAGTTTACTTTGAACTACTGGGAATACTGTGATTTTAATTAACTGTAGTGTAAAATATGTCTCACAATACAATTTAAATGTTCCTATTATCATATAACTACCAATTATAAATTATACTCATAATTATAAGTGTATAAATTCTGTCACTTTGCAGACACATTACAGTACACTAAAAGTGAATTTTATGCTATTAATCCATTCCAGATAAGTATGATTCACAAATTTTTAAAAGAAATGTTTAATGCACTATAAACATTTAGATTGAGTTTCTTTAGCACTGTGACAGCTGCCACCACTTGGCCACTTAACCATAAGAAACACACACACCACATGTTTCCATGACTGAGCACATGCACACAAGCCTTAGCTCACTATATGCAATACCAAACATCAACTAGAGTGGTGTAAAGGACTCTGGACCAGCGAAAAAGTGTTCTCTGGAGTGATCAATCAGGGTTCACTTTCTGGCAGTTTCATGAATGAAATTGGGTTTGTCATGGCAGAAGAACCTACTAGAATGAATAGTTCCAACAGTAAAGTTTGTTGGAGAAGGGATAATGGTCAGGGTAGGGACGCAGGATGGTGTTGTAAGTTGGGGGTGCTGATATTTTAAGCAGTGTATATGTGACGTGACTGATGATATCATGAAATTATTTGCCCTTTTTTTTGCTAATGTACATCAAACACCACATGTCATACTGTGCTATAAAGACACGAGAGACGATATTATAAACATCTGACACATTAAAATGTTATTATGTAAGTCTAATTTTTAAGTTCAGAACGTTTTATTGTTATTATTCATTTTAACAGTCGCAGGATCCGCATCCCTGGGTCTGGGGATGTTTTTTCAGGGCTTGGGCTTGGCTCAGTTATATGCTTCCAACTGTTTGGCAACACTTTGGAGAAGGCCCTTTCCTGTTCCATGCATGACTGTACCCCTGTACACAAAGCAAGGTCCATAAAGACATAGTTTGATGAGTTTTGTGTGCAGGAACCTCAGTGACCTGCACAAAGCTCTGACCTCAACCTCACGGAGCACCTTTGGGATGAACTAGAACATTGATTGTGAGCCAGTCTTTCATGTCCCACAACAGTGCCAGATCCTCAAATGCTCTTTTAACTGAATGGCAAAGTTACACAGACACACTACAAAATGTCATGGAATGCCTTCCCTGAAGAGTGGAGGCTGTTTGAGTAGTAAAGAGGGGGTGAGGGCAACTCTATATCAAGAAGCTCACATAGGTGTGATGCTCAAGTATCCACATACTTTGGCCAGTGAATGTAATGAACAGTATAGGAATCTTGAAAAAGCATATAAACAGCAATGTCTGAATAAAGAGAAAGAAGAGTAAATGACATTTCTCTTTCTCAAACTCAGTTTGTAGTTCAGAGGATCTGCTACGTAATAGCTGAAGACCAATCAAAAATACAATAAAATGGAACACATTTAAACTTCCCCTATTTTTTAGTCAATTTCATCTTTCATCTTGTCAAGAAATGCAACTGGATGCCACCCTGCCTTTCTCTCCATCTGCTCTATTTCCATACCAGTCAAATAATAGATATGAACAAATAAATTACACTGGCAATTTTCTGTAATTGGTCAAGGTTGGTTTCCCCTCTGCATCACCCATGAAATCAATGCTCAGTGGGGTTTATGCACTATGGCTGCATAATGGAAGCCATATGAAGAACTTTTCTTTAAATATTTTTTGCAAAAGAATATTTTAAAGTTGTCCAGTCTTAAAGACTTCCCAAACAAAATAGAATATACACACCGACTGGGCTCTTCATTACATACACATAGTTGTATTTACACTCTTTATCCATTTATCAGCTCCATATAGGTGCACTTTGTAGTTCTACAATTACAGACTGTAGTCCATCTGTTTCTCTGCATACTTTGTTAACCCCTTTTACCCTGTACTTCAATCGTCAGGACCACCATAGAGCAGGTATTGTTTCAGTGGTGGATCATTCTCAGCACTGCAGTCACACTGATATGGTGGTGGTGGTGTGTTAGTGTGTGTTGCGCTGGAGTTTTTAAATACCTCAGTGTTTAAATATCCAGCCAACAGTGTCCTGTGGGCAGCATCCTGTGACCACTGACGAAGGACTAGATGACACAAACTGCTACAACAACTCAGTCTTTGTTGTAATTGTAATTGTAGAAATACAAAGTGCACCTATACACTCTGTTTCTTCAAGGGTTCTTTACCATTTTCTTTACTAAAGAACCTTTGAGGAACCATGTTTTTAAAAGTAAACGTTAAACGGAGCTGATAAAATGGACAATGAGTGTAGAAACAAGAAGGTGTACTTAATAAAGTGGCCAGTCAGTATAAACAAATTTCCCAGATCACCTTCTGGTTTTGACAAAACAGATATGCTCCCTTGAAAGTGGGGTTCAAACTGGTCATTGTTAGTTAGTATTCCAGAAAGGTCTTAAGTTACAAAAACATAAGCCTTCTTTTTTTTAGGCGTATATCTATTTTGCAGGCAGTGGTAAACTTCAGATAGTATTCCACAAATGCACAATGCTAGGGCTGGGAGTCACATCCCATAAAAATTTCAATTCTCTGATTCCAGGCACAACACACACCAACAGACAGGGTGTTTTTTTACTTTGGGCAAAGTAGAAAGGGAAGACATTTGTACAATTTGTAACAAAAGGTAGCTTGCAGTCGTTCTGTTTATATACGTACGATAAAAACAAAGATGTTACGGAACCAATGATTAGTTTGTGAAATTGTAAAATGAAGCTATTTCTTGGTTCTTCCACAGAACCAAAACCCAGAACTGACCCATTTTCCCGTTTTTCAATATTGGATTTCACATGAAAATCGAATGCCCAAAAGATACATGGTCCATAGAGATTAGATGAAGCTGAAGTTAGCATCTTATTCTCATTTCCTGTTCCTTCTTACATGATGTAGCACTTACATTCAGATGCCTGTGTGGGTGGTAGCAAGTAACTGCTGTACAATTTAAGGTAGAACGGAAGCTTGAATATGAAGCTAACACTAGGCTTGCAAGGTTAGTGTATCAAATTGAGTCTGACAGTGTGAATCTGGTACTGACCCAACTCAACTGACACAGCAGGCAGTTCTCTAGAGTTCATACGTTTTTTTGCATTACCTACATAGCAGTACTCATATCATATGTGAATTTATATTCATATGTGAATCATGTAAAGATGGACAGCAGCATCAAAGAACTGTGAAAAAAACAAGGTGGCACCAAGAATACAACAATGCTATTTAAGGAGGATGAGAACTTATCCAAGCAGGCAGGCAGTGAAAATATTGACATGAGTCAATTTTAGGACAACAGCTTTAGCCAGTTTTCATTTTACCACTAACTAGCCACCTTGGTTATCTCACTGTAGCATATAAATATTTAACAGGAGCAAAAAATGAAGAACATTAAAATGTGCAGATTTTAGAAAAAGTTATTTTGCACAAACGCAATGCTGTGTTTTCTGAGCAGCAGAAGAAATACAGTTAGCTTGTGTTCACACTTCCCGTTTAATTACTGGTCAATTACTGGAGGGGCTTATATCTTGATTTTTGTAACTGAGAGTCTAAAAAATTGTTATGTGGAATCGACTCTTGAAACTGACTCACTGGAAAACCTTGAAACTTTTTAAATAAAAGAGTTGATGAAGTATAAAAACTGTTTGACATGCAAACACATAAAACTGCTAGGTTAAAGAGAATGTTTAGCTGCATACTTCTCCAATGCTGATTTCATTGACCTCAGATCCATCCTGGTCAACCCCTGTGATTGTGCTCTCCTCCAAACCATCGCCTCCTGAATCCTGACTGGCTCTGATCACCTCAACACCTAGGGAGGTGTCATTGGCAGGGGGTGCATCTACAATCACAAGTAGTGGGTAAACATTTTCAAATGAGCTGTGAATAAGCACTACCAGCCAAAAGTTTGGAATTACCGTTCAAGAGATTGAAATCAAAGTTTTCAATAAAATAGTCGTTATAATAAAATAAAAGTTATAATGTAACTCTGTCAGTCCTTAGTAGGGCTGCATGATAAACCAGATTTTAATCGTTATCACGATATTATGAGTTTCCATGATAAACGTATCATTAAGAACTGTAATGACAGAATAGATCAAACTACCTCATACACTTAGTGCCACAGAAGTGTCATAGCATTGCTGGCAGAAACCGTCAGAAGTCTAATAAATGTTTCTCTGTGCTGGGATTGAACCCAGCTTTCCCATGAGGTGAATTAGTAACTTAACCCATTCCAAAGCACATATTAAAAAAAACACACACATGAACAGGTCAAAAACTACTCCATCCTGAACTACACGCCTGTAAAAACACAGCAAACATTAGGATTATTCTCACACCCAGTATGTAACGTGTGCAAGGCAGTAATAGCTACTGTCACTAAAAAAATGTTCTTGTGTGCCGATATAAAGGATAAATATATATATTTATTTGTTTTTGTGAGATTTATAGATAATGCTGAGTGTTTCTCAGCCTTTCAGTGCACAAAAAATGTGTTTTCAATTCTGATGTAAGTAGCTGTTAGAATTTCTTTTCTTTTTCAGAAAATTGTGCTAGTATTTTCTTAAAGGAGAGGTTAGTTAGATTTCTGTTGTGCCAGCAATGATATCTCTCTCTCTCTCTATCTCTATCTGTCTCTCTCTCTCTCTCTCTCTCTATATATATATACAATGTCATTCCGCATCTCATAGCGATACACAACCGACTGCGGCATGCCACGCAAATGTTGGCATGGTGACGACAAAATTGAATGATTATCAGAGGAGAGCTTAGCAAGGCTGATTGCTCTGAAAAAAATCAACATCCGGTTTATTTCACCACTGTGGTCAACAGCAAACGCCGGGAAAATTGAACTTCTATGGAACGTTCTCCATCGGAAATAACGGAATATCTGGTTTGCTGCATTACAACAGCATTACAGTCAGTACACTTCACACATGGACTACAGTGTAAACGTGTGTTAAAATACCAAAAACGAAAATGCTCGGTTATTAGTATTGGCAACGGTGTTAGTTATTAATTATTACTGGACCAGAAATTCCATATCAATGCCTCCTACTTCAGCTCATTTTATAGAAGTAAAGCTAATTTTGAGTTCACCTGATTTTACATCTGACTGAGTTATGCACTCAGTGCTTTCATGCTCTGGTTGAATTTCTTCTGGGGCACGATATGAAGCAGCAAGTTTCACACTGCTGCTTTCTCCAGGTACCTAAGGTAAACAAACATCTTTCTTTAGTTATGTATACACGTTCAGCTTCACTGGTCATTTTGGATATATTTGTATTGTAGACAATGGATTAAGTTCACCATCCTTATCAATACAATTTTACATCAAACCACTCTGAATTACTCTGTAATTATGCAAAAATCTGTGAAATTCCTCTTTAAACACCTCAACAGTGCTACTTTTCATGTTGTAACACACACAAAAACCCACTTCCTTATTATTGGAAGAAACAGACTGATGTGCTTGTTGTCTTGGTCAGTTGTCTTGGTAGCCTTTGGTTGGACTTGCCTGCACACTAGAAGAAGAATTCTTGGATAGATGGTGAAGCTGACGGCAATTGGTGGAGAGGGTAGCCAGTGCATAGCGAGTACCCAAAGCCCCCCTGTTGGTCAGGGTGATTACCCGTGAAATTGTCTGCCCGACCACATGGGTGCCAAAGTCAATGAGGCTGCTACCAACAACCATCTGGGGAAAAGAAAGACATATCGTCTTCAGAAAAAAACTAAAGTATAGAATGAGCCAAAAGATTTCCTTATTTATGAGATCTCAAGAACATATCATTTGGATGGACACTTAGCAGAATAGATGATCTCACCTCACATTTTTTCCTTGTGCACTTGATGATCACAGAAAATGGCCCAGTAGCAGACTGAAACTGGACCTCACCTTCCAAGTTCTCATTCAGCTAAGAAAGAAAAACAAGTATTACTAGTTCATGCAACATGTTCATGTTGTTGGTCATACAGAAGAGTCAATCTTATTTCTTATCTAAGCTAATCCTGGTGATGCAAATACAACATAAAACATCCAGTTTTATATGAAAATGTGACTTTAAGAGCACAGTTTTTTCACAGTAAATTGGAAGTTCTGGTTCAACTTGATTTGTGAAACTGAATGCAAATAAGCTATTATGTGTCAGTCAATGGCCAATGTAGGGTGTCTCTTTTTTCTCCCCATGAGATATATCATATCAGGCAATCATAGAGAAATTATTATAGTTTTTTTCAGACTGAGCTCCACAACTATGTCCTCATATTAAAACATACATCCTCCTTTGGCTATTGGTTTGGAGAATGCTAAGAAGCACAATCTCATGGAAGAAACAAAAACTATCACATGGAAGCAAGACATCAAAAAGGAGCAAAATCATCAAAGAGTACTTCCCACAGAATAAGTACATGGCTGGTATGTATTGGCACAAGTTTCACAAAATGATTCTGACAGTTTGATTTTGATTCTACACTGTAAAACATCAGAAGTCAGCTCAACTTGAAATTATAAGGTAGCCATTTACAACTTTAGGACACCCAAGTTCAATCAACTCAAACTTCTTAGCTCAATTAAAAGTTCTCCTAACACTCATTGCTAGTTTCCCAGTTAAGTGAACAATGCAGAATTTGTAGGCAGACTGTGTTGTATCTGCTAAGAACAAAAGCATAAATCCTCCCCTCTGGACATGCGTGGAGCATGTGTCATGTTTGATGTAACACTGTTTACCTGGCACTGAGGCACTTTCTGCCAAAACTGTGGCACTGCCTGGTGCTGTTAACTCCTTAAAATCCCAGGCTTATCACATACTAAGTCTTATTAATCAGTAACTAAAGGGACTTCATTGCAAATGTTCTTAGGTTACAGAAGCGTGTGATGAAACTTTTGTCCTCCCAGTGGGCATGGCTTGGTCAGTCCAGCTGCTTTATGTCTTTCCTCCACTTCCCTTCATCCCACAAATGCTGTTCAGGTTTCAAAATGTTTTTGACTCCATTAGGCTCCATTAGACTGTCACATCACCATGGCTCCTACTGCTCCTCTGCTGTCACTGCTAAGGACCTCATTACGACAGTTCTCACTGCCACAGCTGGGAGACTGGGCAGAAGTCATTGCTGATGGACCGGAAGTAAGTAATTCGGGAGACCATCTGGCATGCAAGAGCCTAGTGGACAAGTCATGCATGTCTTTCACTGGAAAATGTTTCTTTACTGGTGGGCAGTTCATCAGTGTTCGTGGTGCTATTAGTTCCTACAGAACATGCTGGATAATGGTTTCTTCCCACCCATGCATAAAGCTAATCACTAGAAGGTGGGCTCATGAACGCTTAGATCCATATATTGAACTGGCTTCCTCTACACTGTTAGAAATAAAGGTACTGTGCAGGTACATTTTTCATTCATCAAGGAACAAATAATGAAAATGTTCCCTCAAAAGTACAAGAGTGGTTTTAAGGTCCAATTGTGAACCTTACAACAGAACAGTAAAATAAAAAGCCTGGGGACGAGACAGGGTGTGTGGAGTCAATACAACTTAGAAAATATAATTTCAATAGATAGATTATGTTCCCTGACTAAAGGTACTGAGATGTACCCTTGAAGGTACCACCCCAGTGACAAGAGGGGCACTGCCCCAGTGACAGTTTAGTACCTTTTTTCTGAGAGTGTACCAGGAACGCTAATGCTTGTTATGCCACATTAACTTGCATTTTAATTGCACTTTATTTTGATAAATTCACTGCGAGCAGGGCCTGCTGGGAGAAATTTGGAGAAAAAAACAGGAGAAACCACAGCACATCAGTCATAATAAAAACACGGAGAGAAAACAAGAGAAACATAACTAGTGAAAACAAAACAGCTCAGAAATACCAGACTTGTTGAGAGTCTGGCTTGAGTAAACTGAAAAGTAGTGTTTGCATCGATGAGACGTGTGGTCCCTGTGGTTAAAAGGTTGGTCACTGTCAATTCCCGCCTGCTAGCTAGGTCTCCCACTATAGTATTACACTACCAAGCTGAGACGGTAAGAGCTAACATTTGCTCCCACAGAGACATACCTTGAGTAACTTCCGAAACTAAAACAATTAATATCTGACACAGAGCGCTCCATTGACTATTGTTCAAAACATAAACCTGAACCTGTAGTATAAAAGTTGATGATTACACTCCATGAAGCCATAGAACCATGAAGAACTGTCTGAATGCATAAATGGTTCTATGCATGGTCAAATAGTTGTTCTCTACGATGGAAAACTAGTTGAATATGGCTTATATACATTTAAAAATGGCTCTATGTAGCACCAAAAATGGTTCCACTATTGTTAGGGGGTAAAGAATTCTTTTTCAGTAATACATAGAACCCCGTTTGCTAAGTAAAACATGTTTACAGGTTTAACGCAACACGTGCCTGAATATTGTCACTGATGACTCAAATGTAAACTCACTCACTGGTAACTTAGCCATTAATGACTCAGTTGTGGATTTGGTCCCTAATGGTTTGGACTCATACTAATGACTTGAGCTTAGATCTCACAGATGAAGACATAAGACTCTGGCTCCAAAAAGGTGACTTGACTACTGAAAACAATCTGAAACAAATAATATCTGACACAGAGCTCAAGTGGCTATGGTGATGAAACAAAAGGCCTGAACCTGTTGTATAAAAGTAGTAATTTACACTTTATTTTGATGGTCCCCTGTAGATGATCTCCAGATACTTACATTCTTAATAAACTTTTTCATGATATTCAGTTAAGTACCAGCATTATTATGGTAAGGATTAGATTTAGGAGTAGGTGTAGGTTTAGGGCTGAATTTAAGATTAGGCTTAGATTTAGGATTAAGGTTAGACTTAATAGTATATTTATAAAACGGATAGTTCCGGTCCTTAAATCTGATTGGCTGAGCCGCGTTCAAAGTCCTTGTAAAATCCACGTTATACCCACACCACTGACCGCCTCACAACAACTGAATTGTGTATTACTACGCCACAGCACGAAAAAATCCTTGTGCTGTTAATGAATAATCTATGACTCTCGTGCTGCTCCCATGGACCTCCGAGGATACTGATGAAGTAAGAACCTGTTTTTGTTTAAACTGAGGGGCTGGTAACTTATGTTGTTAACTAGAACTAGGCTGGTTAGCTAGCTAACAAGCAAAAAGATAGCCAGCAGCCTAAACAACTCCATTAATATCACAGGCCTAAATTAAAGTACATACGTCATGCTTCATTGTAAAACAGCAGTATAAAAGTCTTAAAAAGTCTTGCACGCTTCGAACGTTCCCGTTTCAGTTGTACCATCAAACCCAGGCTGAATCCCAAGCAGCTCCATATTCCCTAAATAGTGTGCTAACTATGAAAGTTTAGAAAGAGTCCCAAATGACTATTTCTTAGTGATATTTTGCACCTTTGAGGTACAGGATCCAGTATTTTAATTTCTACGTAGTGTACTATGTAGCTAGGGAGCAGGGAGCCATTTGAGATTCAGCCCCAGCATGAGAAGAGGGGTGCTGCTGGATTGGTGCTAAATAAGATTTACAGTGGTAATTTGGTTACCAAAAGCACTTATAAAGTGAATGTTTTTGCATCAAACAGTGCTGTGTTATCATATTGCTGTTGAAAGAAAGAAAACCATTTTTCAGTTTTTGACATAATTTGAAAATACCTGTTACCCTTTACATTGTGTGTAAATTTCATGATGAATGGACAAAAAGAAATGGCCCAAAATTACTTGGAAAAATGTCTGGTTCCATTGACTTACATCAAGAGTAAAGTAGGTTTTTTTTCTTCTCCTGTTTAAGTTACCATTTTGGAGATCAGCGATATGTTCATTGTTATACAACAAGAAGTTTAAAAAAAAATCATGAAATGACTGCAATATACAGCGATGGGCAACTGAACAATCTCCTCATTCAGTGGTCCATAATTGCTTAGCAACGATACCTCTAAAGGAACTACATTGCTTGGCGGAATATTTGTTGATGTTGATTATTATTAATAATAACTTAAATCATTTTCTAAAAAAGTGTGTATTTAAATATTTTACATTGACCACCGTTATAAAGTATAAGCCCTTTATCTGTTCTCAATGTATTTACTATATATTCACTCTAGTGGTAATTTCATTTCATGGCTTCTTCTATCTCAGTCATTCTGGTAACACTAATTCTTTCAATTCCACCTTCTGAAACTCAGGTTTCCAGTTGCATCTTGGTTTGTCAGGCCGACATTTCATTGTAGATAGCAGCCCACCACCTGAATCCCAGCAAGAGCAAATTGGTAAATATCTGAGGAACTACAGTTCCTTACCATGCTCACGCCATCTTATTCAAGAATTCTTTAGTCATTACATCTGAAGATGCACAAAGCCTGATTCTTATTGCAAACCTGACTCTGCAATATCCAGAGGATCTGACTCTCTCTAGGTGCTTGTACAGTCTCTTGTTATCTTGAGGCTTGACTACTGCAACTCTGTGGCTTTCCCTTTGCGTGCCATCAGGCCTTGTAACTGATCCAGAATGCAGCAGCAAGGCTTCCCAAGTTCACTCTAAGTGCGGTCTCTTCACTTGCTTCGCATAGCTGCTCGCATCAGATTTAAAACTCTGATGCTTGGCTAGAAAGCCAAAATAGACCTGTTCCTCCATACATGATGGCAATTGGCAAAACTCAATCCATACCTAAAGCCCTTCAAGCTCTACTTGACTGGCCATCTTTCAAGATGCATAGAAGACAAGAAGAGCATTGCCTAGGACTTCCAGTGGCCGTCCAAACAGAGTCTCTTGCTGTCTTCAAACGCTGACTGAAGACCCATGTCTTTAAGAAGTATTTACATTAATCTAGCACTTATTGAAATTTCTTGTACTGCACTTACACAATGTCTTGTTTCTGAAGTGTGCATCTTTCAGGTCACAATCTCTAAAAAAGGGTAATAAACTGTGGGTACATTTTCAGTACCTCAGTTAGGTAACATAATTGTACCAGAACTTGTTGCAGTATATATGTTTTTTAAGTTGCATTGACTCCATACACCCCATCTTGGCTTCAGGCCTTTTATTTTATTTTTCTATTTTAAAACATTAGGTTAAAAGGTACACATACATGGCTTTCCCTTGACAAAGTGAACATATTGTAATTTTAAGGTACATAATTGGACTTAACAGCCTTGTACCCTGTACATTTACAAAATATTTACAAAATACAAAAATGTATGTGATTTTTGTATGTGATTTTTGATGATTGCTGCAATAGTAAATGCAAAAGTGTTCCAAGTGTGTGCGCTAAACCAACTCTGTAATGGTAGCATGCTTGACTTCTTGCCATGTACTGCACCAAAAGGTTTTTCCACTAAACTGAACAGAATTTGAGATTGATATTTGTTTTCTGTTCCGTTCTTTGACTAGCCCATAAATATGCAGAGCTGTGTCACAGAATACACCTCAGAGTATTGCTAATGAGTGCACATACATAAGAAGCACCAACAAAACAACTTCATTGTGATTCAGAAAGATGTTAGTAACTCTAGAAGGGCTATAGGCTAAGTAAAGTTCTATGAAGATAAGAAAATTCAGGTTGAGGAATTGACTGAAAATGATGAGGATGATGCATAGCTGCTCCACAACTTGCTATGCAAGCTCTGAAACAAGACAACTTACCACAGGCTTGAAAACAGCTTTCAGTTCACATGCCATGCCTGCAGACATTGGCCCAGGAGGCTCAAAACTAAAATTGAGAACAGAGATTAACAATCAGACATACTCCTGTTGAGAAAATGACTTACTAGCAGCATATTTGAAATACACAGCATGCTCTCACTGATCAAGATGCTCTCTCATATTAGGGGCCTTTCCTCCATTAGCACTAGGGCCAGGTTTAGTACCTATTACTAAGGTAATATAGCCTGCTAATACAGTTTGAGGTGCTAAATCCACTTGAGAGAACTCATGTTGAAAAATGAAATATTACACAGACATTCATGTTTAAATAAGACCAGTTTTGGTGACTTTTCTTTAGGAGGTTTTATAATTCCATGCTATAGTAGTTTCACATGACCTGGTTACCTTTGCATCAGTCTATTACTTTTGTTACTAGTTTATCACTGATTATATATGTTTTGTAGGGATGCACTGAAATTTTTTAGCCACCAAATAAGAAAAAAATAAAAATGTTGCCCAAAAAAGCAAAAGATTAAATACGTCTACAGTAAAGTGTCAAAATCTAACACTTAACAAATAATCTGAATTACAGAGAAAATGAGAAGTAGTGATTAAAACACTATTTGTTTCCTTCACTCTCCTGCTCAGGTCAGCACAGACATGTTAAAACAATCTGAGAACCAGCAGATTAACAGTGACACATAAACATGGTCCTCTGCAGCTACATTCTATACTGTCTTTAGCTTACATACCTTTTTAGCATTAACTAGCATTCACTGATTTAATGTAATTCTCTAAAGAAAACCATATAAATTCTAATAATCTTTTGCTATTTATCTTTTTTATCTTGCTAAAATTTCTGTCTGTTTGTTCTCTAAATGATGAACACTAAAATGACTTGCATGCTAACTGTGCTCCCTGCTGGAGAAACTTCAGACTGCTAGATGGGAGTTTCAAAGCCATGTCTATGTGCTTTGAACATTCAGAAATGAGGTGTTTTTTGTTGTTATAGTGAAGGGGCCCTGGAATTAAGCTTAAAATGTCTTTGGGAAACCTGTAACGTATTATATTTTCGGAATTTTACAACTTGTACTATTTAAAATTATTTAGCAAGCTGTTTAAAAATAAATAAGTGCTCTCAGTTACCTTTCCAACATGGTGATTATCAGGTATGAAGTATCATCAGCATTATCATGTTAATTCAAAAGCACAAAGAAAACAACAAAGTATATATATATAGTATATATTTCTTTTAATTTCGGTTTTCAGGTGAGTACTTTCTGGCTTTCAGTCAAGAATTTTCAAATTTTGGTTTCGGTCAGGAATTTTTATTTTTCATGATGATCTTTCGGCTCAATATCTAAAGATACAAATATACTTGCAAGTCTTTTTGCTAGACTTCCTTAATGCTATTTTGGAGATTTCATACACTTAGTATTATTTGCTGAATGCTGTGCGGATTGTGTTTTTGAACAAGCTGGTAGTGATAGGGCCCAGTTGGACTGCTGTTTATCTCTAGCTTGATGTGCTTAGTGTCATTAATATGCAGCCTTTTTTCATGTTTTTTTTTGTCATATGCTCCATTCTTTCTATCATTCCCTCTTCAGAACCTTCAGGCTGGGGGGTGTATTGTGAGCATCACTAGAATGGAGGAACTTGCATGAATAATGGTTATGCAAACAGTTATATTATGGTATGAGGAACTTTCATTTCATTAGCTAGGCTGTGGATGACCACAGTCAAAAAAGCTACAGGGTTGCTATGGAAGACTAGTAACATAGCATGGATAGGACATGGTAGAAGAGTCCAGTATGAGACTGGGCCACTAATGAGTAATGGCACCACCCTCGCGGTTGAGAATACCATGCCGCAGCATTCATATCAAGACCAACTAGTAAAAGAATGTATTATGTGCTCACAGCTAACTGGCTCCATCTGTACTGAGTGTTTGGTAAAAAACCACACAACTGAAGCAGCAGTGTCAGAATATCTCCTTCCAATCTAATACATGTTAATGGTCACATTTGGTGCCATTCTCTCAAGAATGTACAGAATCCACCAAAAGCAGGACAGGCTGGTTTGAATTACTTGGCATTAGTATTGTATCATGGACTGAGAAAGTTAGGGACCACTGGTTTAATGGTATCGTTCTAACAGACGGATCTAATTCTGATTTTTACACTATGATTTAGAAGAAAAAAACTTTGAAGTATCTATGTAACTTGCAACTTAGTTCAATCTTATTCCTACTGTTTCTATGGCCCATTCAAAATGGTTTCAAATGAAAGTTTTGGCAATTCCATGCTATTGCATGTGTAAATCACTAGGTTTTGCATGTCACTTGCACATATTGGTCTTGGGAAAGCACAGCTGTCAGCAGCCTGCTGTCAAACAAATGATCACATCTGATGCAATGGGCACCGTGTTCTCACAGCTTTTTCTACATTTCTTTTTGAATAATTTCCATTTGCATACTCATTTAGCTCTGTTTTCTGAGATTTTCTGATGTCCCATAGGAGATACTAATACCTGCATGTTTAAAAAACAATAAAAAACAAACAAAATGACTAACTTGTTTCAATAACACCAAAAAAACCTGCTATGATACAGATCTTTCAGCAATACCAACATGACAGTACACTCTTAGGACAACATCTGTTATTCACTTTCATCAACAATAAACTTGTTAATGTAAGGTTAAAGAAACAAGTAAAAAACAAAGCATGTGCAGCGTATGGTGCAGCTTGAGATTACTGGCTGAATTATTAAAAGTAAGAGAGACTAACATAAGAAATTCTCAGAAACAAAACTGATCAATAGCAGTCGCTTGCCTACAGTGCAGACCCTGCCTTCAAAAAACAAAGCAATCAATGCAGCATGGCAGAGCGCCAGCAGAAGCAAAACACACAGATGGATGGATGGAAGGCTGATAACTAACTCACGGACAGACAGCCTTAGAATATTTTAGATTTTAAGTCACGGAAGCACCATCTGCCTGCACCAGATTTTCCCAACCCACATTTTCATCCATTTTTTTTTCCCCTTTTCACTTTCTGTTCCTTTTCACTATTTCACTCTTTCTGGAGATATGTCAGCAGTCTTTTCTCAGGAACGAATGCACCTCACACCCTCACAGGTCATCAGCTCTTCTCACAAACATTCACTTGCCTGTAAATATTTCAGCAGATACAGAGCTTACATGTACTAACAACTCTACATGGTTCTGTGCTTGCTGTTCCTGACCTCCTTGAGTCTCTCCATCTAAAGCAGTAGCTGGGAGTTTCAAAGAAGATGAAGAAGGACTTCTCCCCTAAGACACAAGACCTTGATAATGCCTGTGATCGAGATGTGAATTCACTGAAGTCTTTCAATTGCATTTTACAAACCCTGCATTGCGTTGTGATCATCAATGATATTTTTGTATTTTTCTGTAGTGTTTAGTTAATTTTATTACATAGAGTCACGACTATTCAAACTCTACAGGTATTGTAGCAATACTCGTTTCATTGCTGAGTTTTGGTTGGAAAAGGGTTAATATCTTGATATGCCCAACATAAAATTGGCCAGTCAGGACCTTTTCCCCAACAATACAGCCAAGAGAGCTCTCCCATTCGTTAGCACTTCAGAAGATGAATTGAAGGCCTAACGTGTCAGACTAACCACTAACCCAATTAAGAACTTAAATTCGATGTACAATGTGAATTACTGTGTCACTGTGAATACAAAGGGTAGTGTACCCAATGGGTTACAGTCAGATATTGATAAACAAAATGAAAAACAGCAGCAGCAGCTCTATGGCAGGGCTCTTTACTGGGTCACTATAAAACTGCTACATACAAAGTAAAATATAAGTTAATGTCTATTACAAGCTTACAATTAAAGCTTGAATGTTTACAAGATTCAAATATCTGTATTTAATCTCAAACAGCCAACAATGTTTACATGCACCACCGTTAGCTTAGTGATAACTAGAATCCTATAATGACAATAGCAGAAATTAGCATTATCATGGCAGTGGGTCCTCATTGTTTGACTGAATTTTGCCCAAACTGCAGGTCTAGCTCTAATAATCACGGTTTGCAGTCATGGTAAAGTGCATATACTTCGCTTAGTGTATTTCAGTGCTACTCATCTCCATTAAATGACTGACATAAAAAGAATAAATACAAAACTGAAATAGACTACAGTACATGTTAAAGGACAATACTACACACTGATATTAATATTACTGACCCACTATTATTCACATATTCTTTAGAGACAGTAAATTCTCTCAGGAAATTCAATATTTTACTGCCCTTATCCAAAATGTAGTCGATCAGCCAGTACACATTTGATGTTTTGCACTGGAGCTATGAGGCTAATGTAGCTAACTAGCAAAGAAAGTTTTTATGCACCCAATACAGCATTGAGTTGTTAAGTTATCTCAGATAGGCTGATGAGTTTTGTAACACTACAAAGCATACTATATCTATAAAAAATAGACAAAAACAGTAGCAGCAGCCACCCTGAAGCGATTTCTGTCTATACTTGGTCACTGTTTATAAACAATAGCATGTCTATACAGTCTCATAAACCACTAATGCAAGTCTATTTGAAACTCAATATCAACTTGCAAACGTGAGGCTAAAGGGTTAGGTTTAAGCCTCCAGTACTTCTACATTAGCCGCAAAGCTTTAGTGCATGACTAAAGAGAACCTTGGAGACCGAACATGTTGGTTGATCAACTTTGATTCCTTGATAAGAGGAAAACTGTGTAAATTTGTCTGAGCCACGGATTTAAATTTTCTTATTAATGCCACTTTTCTATGTTGTGAAGCTCAGAAAACACTAGCCTGGTTTAACCATCCAGAAACTCTTTAGCTTGTTTTCCTCAGTGGTTTCCGTCAGGCATCGATGCTATTCACACCTAGTCATGTGCATCAATGTGTGACTAAACCATAACACTTGCATAGGTGTATCTGCAACTTAAGTAAAGAGGCAAAATTGGGTTTGAAAGTGGCTTTAAAAGTCACATAAAATCTATAACCCTAAATCTAAATCTGCTGCTTTGTCCTTTAATGCCAAAAATTCAGCTATTACAATGTGGAAAGGGACCTTGAGCTAGCCCATAATGACCCTCCCATGACATGATTCATCATTAATCTATTTCTGCAATGGACAGATGTTTCAAGTACATAGATTATAATATTTTGTAAATAAAAGAGTTTAAAGAAGTGTGTAAACACTGGTTAAATTTCAAAAGGTACAGCTTACATTCTAGTCAATACAGTCCGTACATAGAAACTAAGCTGTAAAAACAGGCCACTATTGATTAATTAGTACTTGGGATGTCATGAAAACCGATCAGCAGTTCTGCCCCATACTTTCAAGTCATAAGGAGTGTTTCAGACCAGACTGCTATACAGGCAGCCATATATATTATCTTAAAGGCACAGCAGAGAAAACAGATAAACACAGAAAACAGAGAAAACAGTCTGTTTAACAGTAAGGGACAAAGAGAGGTTGAAAAAGGTAAAAATAACATTTTTACAAGGAGTATCTATATATTATGCTTGTCAAATTATTAAAATAATGAAGTACAGTTAAATGCATTATTTTGTCTAGTTAATAAGGATCAATCATTACTTTGTCTATTTGCACAAATTTCACTATTTAAAAAGTACTGTTTTTGTTACAGCTATGTGAGTGGATAAATACGCTTCATCAGAACGTATTTGTTGCTTTTTGCATTAAATAATTTCATAACATGTCCAGCAGGAGCACTGTCCAGCATAGTCTGACAAATACTGCCTGCATCAGTGATGTGTTTTGCCTGTTAATGATACTTCAGACTTGATGCACTTTGGTAATAATCAAATTTACCATGCCAGTAGCTGGAAATACCTTTCATCAAGAGAGCCATCAGTGAAACCTGCCATTTGAAAGCTATATCTGAATAAGAGGAACACAGTCGTGGAGTCATAGCAACAGCGTCCTGAGCAGCTAGGCTTCAGGTACATATATGTGCAAATATGTGACAATATTTGTAACAAAAATGTTTAGCAAATAACACCATAGCAAGCATATTTTATTCCATTGCTGTGATGTCAAAGGCACAAGATTTTCAGTATATGATTTTGTCAAAAGTTGGGAAAAGACAGCTATGAAACTGTCAAAATTATGCCAGAAAAACTTGCTCTTCATACTAAGGAAGACACTTTGATGAACATGGAGTGTTGCAAATATACCCAATGTTTTACTAAATAGCTGCTTAGCAGCCCCACAGTTAAGAAACTATTTAAAAAACAATTAAGTATTCAAACCTTAGATATTTAGAGATTATGTTGCAATCTATTTAAACTCAAGGCATTAACTGAGTGAGTAATTAATATAAACAAAATCATCATTTATAGGGTACTTTTTATTGGAAAGTGTCTGTCCCCGACCCTAACCCCTATACTGTGAAAATAATACATAACATATTTTCTGAATGTTTTTTATTAAGAAGTGACATTAAAATATTAAGATTTATCATGAGTTTCAATCAAAAATGGTTTCATGTCACTACTGAAACAAAGAGTTTTAGTCCGTGGGCAGGGCCTTATTTTAGCCACACCCCTGCATTTTACAGCATCTCTGTCCCTCATGGCTCCATGGTGAGCAGTTAGATCTCATTGTTTTGAAGTTAATGCGTCCCAAAGTCTGAAAATCAGTGTGTAACATAATGAATTGTCACTACTGAAAGATACTTGCTGCAATTAGTTAAACGTTTTTGTGTTTTAATAAAAACCATGATTTTATATGTGAACAACTGTTCAAAGCTGTGTTTGCTAATCACACACTGGCTAGTGTTTTTTAGCTGGTGACAAGTGTAGTGTTATGATTGTTTTATTAGTGACTAAATGTAACAGTTCAATTATTTGTTTTAATAAAATTAACATAATTAAGGTATAGGGTCATTCAAAGGATTTTAGTCTAAATTCAAGGTCTGTTAAAAGTCCAAAATTTTCAGAACACAGAAGTTTTGTGAGCACTTGAACTTTTCATGACTTTGCAGAAATATTACATGTGACTTGTGGACAAATGTGGATTGTGGAAGATGGCTTCAAAGGCCTGAAGTTAAGAAATGAGCATAACTGTTTTCTGGAAGCAGTAATCAATCAGACGCATCATGGAGAGGACGTATCGGGGGAAGTGATGTGTGGATGCCATGCTGGGAGAAGGGAAACATTTGTCATCGGCAGCCTGTTAAAAAAGCTAAAAAAAAACACTCTGATATGCAAAAGCAGGCGAAAAAAAAATCAAACAGTACGTGTGCCATCAACCCATTTCCTGTGTTTGGCGAACTGAGACAAGAAGCTGTGTGTGTGAATGCTTGTGACACTGAAACTCAGGAGAGGGGGCTCTGGCATAAAGCAAAAGAACACAGTGAGAGAGAGAGAGAGAGGGAGAGAGAGAGACGGAGAGAGAGAGAGAGAGAGAGAGAGAAAGAGAGGGGGAGAGGGAGAGAGAGAGATGGAGCCATTTTTAGAATTTCTGGGGGCGTCAAAGGAGGCACAGACATACGGCAAAGAGAGCAGAGTCTTACTACTGCTGCTCACTTCCACACAAACACAGATTGCTTCTGATTACATAAACACCCAACCTGACAGGGAGGAATGAGATTTACAGGAATAATGTGTGCAAAATCCCACCACTTTTTGAAATAATGTCAGTTATATTAGCTACCTAGAATTTTGCAAACTGAGGAAGTTTTTTTAACAGATACAGTGCTGCCCTTTATTTATTTAAATTCCAGCCAGTTATTTTTCAGCATTTGCTTTCAAGTCTCCTTTTCTTATATGATTCTAAATTAATTTTTTAAAATTTTTGTATTACTCTTAAGCTTTATCACCCGTCTGCGAAACACTTTGAGCTGTCACCAGCGTGAAAAGTACTATATAAATAAAACAATTTATTATTATTTTAAATCTGCACATAGAGACATTTTTCCATGCCTCCAAAGTTCAGTCTTAGAAGTTGGTTGCATTTTCTGCTTCTCACAAACCAAGCAATCTCAAACACATTGCGTGATGTTGAGGTCTGGACTCTGAGGTAAGCGGTTCTGAGAACACCAGCAGTTTGCAAATTTTCTTTTACTTTTGGTCTGTTTCCTTTTCTCTGTAACAGCTTTTTGACAGCTAAACATCCTTTCAGACTCATAGTGTTGAGCTGTCTTCTCATAGTGGAAGGGTGTACAGAAACACCTGTTGATTTTTTCAGATCTGAAGCGAAAGTGGAGCTTGATTTTCTCCTCTATCTTTAAAGATGAAAGCTTAAAGTACTGTTTATCTGATGGTGACAGTTTTGGTGGTCTATCAGGTCTTGCATGGTTTTAGGAGTCCCTTTTTCTCTAATTCTTTTAATAATTCCAGAATAATAGTTAAAAGAAGAAGAGGAAAAAGAAGGAAAAAAAGAAAAAAAACTTACTTCCATTTGAGTTTCCCCTTCCTTATGCAAGTGGATTATCTTATATATAATCTTATCAGAAATGTCTTCTGACAAATTAATACCTTCTACTTAATGGATGTCTTGACTTGAAATTAAGCAAATGAAGGGTTGTCTCTTTTTGCGTAGTACTGTATAGAGTACACATTCATTACTTTTAATTGTTTTCAATTCCCAGTATGTCACATCCAACTGCAGGATTTAGAGTTGGCATATCTGTATCGATGGGTATCTGTATCAGGCTGATATCAGTGGAAAATGCTGGACTGGATATCGGGGTGGGAAAAAAGAATGCAATTCAAGTTTGCAACAAATCTGTCCTGAAATAGCACACACTCACATTCTAAGACATGATGTTATTAGCTGTGTATTTCTTCCTGTGGGGCAGTAGAGCATTTCAGCACGATAGCCTACTTTTAGACACTCATTTTACGTGAAGTTCTTCAAAATAAAACAGCTTGTTTTAAAGATGTGAAGTTTTTAAAGAGAAAATATCAGATCAGTATCAGTAGAAACTCGCCGTTTCAGTATCGATATCAGTATCAGAAAAAAAATTGGTATCGTGCCACCTCTACTAGAGTTCATATTATATTGTTTGTTGGTTGGCCTTTGCAATAGGGTTCACTAATGTGTGTTTACTATATATCCCAAGGACTGCAATATGCTGCAACATAATCCCACCCTGGCATTTTGTCCATGTCGTGCAGCCCAACTATAATCAGCTGCAGATTATACATTCAGCAAGTTTTAGTTTGAAACATTTGTACGTTGAAATGTTATACATTCAGTGAGTTTTTTTCCATTGTTTTAGACCACTTTTTGTTTTAAATTACCTGAGTGGGTCTTTAAGAATGATAATCCTAACTCTACATCTTCACCTTGGTTGCCTGGGTTATTTATTCATTTCACATCTTTTCACATAAACTTTTTACAAATGTTATTGAGAGGCTCACCTTACTGATATGAAATCCATGAGACTCTGTGAAACTCCCCAGAAGTCTGCAGTAATTTGTGGCGTGAGAGACATTTGTGAGTACAACCTTCTTCTTATATGTCTTTCCAACATCAAAATCCTGCAAAACAATTTTTCAGCTGTTTAAAAACAGTATGTTTAAAGAGAGTCTAACTGAGAACTGATGAGAAGCATCTACCTTAAAGAGGACGATTTCTGGCTTGCTGACGAACGATGGACCTTTTATTTCTTTGCCACCTGCAGATTTTTTGCCAGCTTTTGAAGCCAAACTTCTCTCCAGGCCTGTCTTCATAGACCTCAAATGAGCTGCTTTTAGAGGAATGTCTTCATCTGTTGTGCCCTGAAAGCATTTCAATTTGGAGAAAGAAAACACTGAGGAATCTCCTGAGGATACAGTTAAATTGGCTTTGAAAAGTATAACTGAAAACTCCTCACTACTCATTCAGTGGGTAAAACTGCTTATCACGGTTTGTCTATGATGTAATGCATTTCCTTCTTTAGCTGGCCCCACCATATGTTCTGTTCCTGCTAGTTCTGCTGAACAGCCTATATTCTATTTGTTTCAATCAATACAGTAAATTGCAGCACCACACTGCAGATGACTGCTGCCTCTACTCTTTCCTAAAACAACAGATAATATGAACTTCAATGATTATTAAAGATCCTTTACAGTCATTTTCATTTTCACAGCATCTTGTCAGTTCATATCATGAGAACTCAATATTCAAAGAGAATTCAGCTGCTAACTGATTTTGTGGCATACTGTCACTGTTTCTGCATGTCAGACTGCAGAGCGCTCATGATTTTCCTGTCTTGCTATTAAGTGTTAGATGTGACGTGTCACGTTTAAACTACTTTCAAACATTGCATGGGCAGCAAAATAGGCAGTATGAACATTATTGAGACCACTTTTCTTACTCTGGGAGTGCACCAAGGAAAAGTAGAAAGGTTGCAGATTTAATTTTAAAAATATTAACTCGACCATATAACCCCCCCAGTAATTCATTTTTGATAATGATTATTTGGCAATAAAACAAGGCATAAGTATTGGTTTTACTGATATAAAAATGCTACCATACATGATTTTATTCATAGTATTTACTTACAGTGTACCTGTATAACTATTACTGATTAGTAATAATACTGTTATTAATGTTGATTTAAATATTCTTGTTACCCCAGTTCAAAAAAACCTTGGTTGTTTCACCCCTTGGTTATACTTTTGATGTGTTTAACACATACCTTTACTGTATAAAAAACATTTGTTTAATGCGAAGTGCTTGGTGTGCAGTATCCTACACAGCTGTGTAGACTTTTGAGTAGACACATCACTCCATCTGAGGCTGAGACTAATGTTAGTTAATGTTACATTTACATCTGTGGTTGTGGTGCCCATCGCTAATAGTTGAAAAGATAGCGTTTTGTTGATCTTCTAGGTGAAAATACGTTCACACACTCCTCAACTTTAGTACTGGCCACAGTTCATTTCCCCCCTAATATGTTAAATTTAGCAAAGAAATAGTAATTGCGCATTAAAATGTGCAGATGTGTGCTCTCTGTAAAGGATGTGTACTCATTTAGAGATTCAACATAACATGTATTTTGCATTCAACTGTAGCTATATTATAGGCAGGGAGTGAGTCAAGAAGTGAGGCAGGGCTGCTTAGCAACACACAGTCTTTTTCTTTAGTTTTGCTCTTTACCCTCATTTCACTCTAATACACAGTAGTCACATACAATGTTATAACATCCTGTCTTGCCCTTTCTTAGTCTTTCTCTGTTATAGTCTTAGCTTTCTTGTTCCATGTACTTTTGTTGTTGTTTTGATTGTCTCCTCCTTTGTTTCTGCCTTCTTGCTATCTGTCTCGCCTGTCTGTTGTCCGTAGCTCTGCCCTCTCATTAGTCTATGGTGTTTCTAGTCTGTTCCATCTGTATTTATACCCCTGCTTGTGTGCTTTATGTTTGATTGGTGTTTTCTTCTCTCAGGTCTTGTTTTGGTTATCTCTTGTTTGTTTTCTAGTTTTCTTCATGTCCTTTTGGCTTTGGTTTTCTTCATGTGTCAGTATTTGTTCAGTAGTGCTAGGTCTTTGTTTTGTTGTGGATACTATTTTGTCAGACCTGCACTTGCATCCTGCCTCTTTGTCTCCCTCAGTGTTACATATTGAGACTTTCCATAACTTTTCAGTCAATATAAGTGATATTTAGAAAAAAGTAAAAAAAAAAATCATGATCTTTTTCGCAGTTTTAAGTAACAAAAAAGTAGGAAATCTGGTTGTTGTCACTATCAGACCCAGCAGAAAAAACTGACCACGGATGGACTGAGCTAATGTTAATATAACCTACTACAATACTATATAAGACGATTTATTCTCTAACTGTGTTGGACCAATCATTAAAAATATTTTAGATTTAGGTTAGAACTCTTGTGGTGAGATTAGGTCATTATATTTCCAAAGCTTTTATGTGTCAATTGCAATTTATTTCCCCTGATTGAATGCCCATTGACCCCTAAGCAGGTCCTGTGCAACCCCTCCAATGTTCAACCCAAAGTTATGTCCTTGGTTACAGAGTAAGTGAAGCAGTGCTTACTTGGTCCCCTTCAGGAGAACTACCAGTTCTATCCTTTGACTGCACTGAAATCTATAAGGTTTCTGAGAAAGTACTGTATATGAGAAGCACATAATCACAGAGCTGCCAGCACATAACTCCATAATTCCACTCTAATATATCTCACAATGTGCACTGCAGGCAGAGCTCTGAGAAAGAAGACTGTAAAAGCCTTTTCTTCCATTTGCTTAGACATCATAGCAAGTATCTACCGTAACATAAGAATTTTTCATATGTCTGACAAACTTTGTTTTAGCTTCCCCTAAGAATGAGACAGTCACATCAAAGAAATTGCTATAGCCGAATACAGCTTTGGGAAATATGTAAATATGTAATAACCATGATATTTCCAATCTAAATATGCCTTTTTTTCAAGGGAACCAATTATCTTGTCAACTGACACAGTTTACACTTGTCTTAGTCATTAGTCCAACCATGGTCAAATATTTCTACTGGGTTTGATAGCATACAGTCATAGCTTCCAACTTTATCAATTCTGAAAACCATGTAGAAGTAAGCCCGACACAATTATTACATAAATGTGTGATCGCCATTACTTGAGCTGAGGAAAGCTGGAAACGCGTTTACTAAGACACCTAATGTTTGTTTAATTGAGCTCAACAATATAAGACCTTTATAATATCACATTGAATACATGTTAGCAACAATATCAAAAATATCAATCATTTCTGTAGCAGTTAACAATGACAGGGAACTCCCCAATACAGTAACACCATTTCTGTATTAGTCCGGTCTGGATGTCAACAAGAGGAAAGTTTTCTGAGACTAGAATTTTCACTGCTGCAGCACCTTTTTCTCCAGTGTAAGTCATATCCAGTTTCCAGCAGTTTCCAGCTACTGTGATTGCCCATTGCCAATATACTTTGAGAAGAACATCAACTGCCTAACTAACATCCTAGACTGGCTAACATTCTTACTGTATCAATAAGGTGAGGGAAACAAAGTGCATTTCTATCCCATGAAAACATGGGCAAATGTCTTACACTGGAAAACAAATCGCTTTACTTCACTCAAATGTGTAAAATCCACACTGTCACACACATTAATGAAGCTAAATCTATCTGGGCAGTAAGCATTATATACTAAAAACACAATTCATATAAATACAGATAAACAATTGAACCAATCAATCATTCAAACTAATTCAAATTAATCAATCACCCATTGACTGTGTTTTTCCTCTCTTTCTTTTGCCGAGTTGAACAGCTGCCCATCCTGCTGCTGATGCTGCTGCCTCTGCTGCCTTGATCGGGTGCCACTGCTCACCGTGCAAACCTCACCCTCACAACCTGACCCCATTGATGCTGCTGCTTCTGCTGCATGAACTGAACTATTCAAATTAATTGTTTCCTTCACGTTTTACCCTGTTTTTTTGTACTATAATACTTTATACTAACAATGTTTACTATCCGGTGTCGACCAGAGGAGGATGGGTTCCCCTTCTGAGTCCTGGTTCCTCTCAAGGTTTCTTCCTGTTTCTCTTAGGGAGTTTTTCCTTGCCACTGTCGCCACTGGCTTGCTCATGGGGGCTCGGACCCGGACTTCTTTTTGTAATGCTCATTTCCTTGTAAAGCTGCTTTGTGACAACACCTGTTGTAAAAAGCGCTATATAAATAAACTTTACTACTTACTTACAATACATCATGCATGTATTTCTATTCCTCTCCTCCAGGAAGCACAGTGTTTACAGTCACCATCCAATACCTAGCTCAGCTAATCTGTCCTTCATTAAATTAAATCAGGTGCTGCTGATGGAACTGAACAAATCCATGCAATGATAGGAACCAAACCTATATCAAGATTTAGATGGCAAAATATTATGGCTAATCAATATTTCACTACATTAAGTCTTTTTTAAAAGTAGCTATAAAATGCAATTTTGACCTGTTTTGGAGTTCCTTCAGATTTTTTTTTCTTCATTAACATTGATGGAGTATATTTTGATGGAAATTTGTATTACAAAAACGAAACAAACTGGATTTTCATCTTTGGAGGTAATCAAGCAACTCAACATTTATGAAAGTGTTTTAATTGTGTTTAAATGCTATTTTTTATTGTGGCAGTTGTGCATGTTTTTTACATTAATACAGCTACAGTTGTGCTGTCTGTGTCACAGCTGTCTGTGTGTGGATTGTTTTCACAGCAGGGGTTCCTTAGTCCTCCCATTTCACCCCTCATTGCTCGCTAGCAGCTCAAAACAGAATCACAACATTTCATACTCAGAGAGCCAACAGTTTCGTAATTAGTGTGATAACAGAGCTGTCAGTGGAGTGGCCACATGCAGAAAGAGGATACATAAGGTGTACTAGTTTGTATTTATTCTAATGTTATGGTGTTTTATTAGGCAAAAATACATGTACTGCCAATATAAATAGTTTTAAACCATTTTATTAGGTGCCTAAGGCTTTTGCACAGTGCTATACACATATATAGCACATCCTCTATAGGGAGTAAACTTTAGTATGGCCTTTTTTGCTAATTTCAGAGCACAGTTGCTATTTATTCGCTTTATTTGTTTAACATATTTAAAAAATGCAACATAAAATATAAATGTGCCATAACATTTGCAAAGGTGCCATTTTATGTTCACCTAATATGTTAAATTCAGCAAATAAACAGTAATTATGCATTAAAACGTGCAGAGGTGTGTTCTCTGTAGAGGACGTCTACTTATTTTTACTATATTGATAACAGATCAACACAATTATGGCCAAAACTAAACAAAGACAGAAATGTGTTGATGTGTACATTCTGTTTATGAGTAAATGATATACACGTTTGAATTAAACCAAATTGCAACTCCCTTACATTTTCAGTGACGACGGCTGCTACTACAGAGTTCCTGTGTTATTAATGCATCTAAGAACTGATTCTTAAACCAAAGTATTTCAGAACGAAACACCACTTCTAAATCTGCAAACCAACTTCCAAAAATACCCCTTACATAATTCAGTTACTAAAAAATGAATACACTGCAACCCCACGATACCACCCCCAGTCAGCATCAAAATATTTTATTCTCTGTCTTTTAAGTCTCTGCTACCCAGTGCACATAAAAGACAGTGTTTTTCAAAGAGAATCACACTTGAGTAGGGAAGTTCAACATCTAAAGAGGTATTTAAAACTGTAATGGGCTTGTATGATATGGCCTGATAATATATTCAGATGAATCTTAGTTGGGGTATGCAAAAAAATCAAATTGGGTATAGTGTTAAGCCTGAGGCCTGCCTATAAGTGACAGAAGAAAAGAAGGCTGACGTTTACCTCCTTAAATGTTACAGGCTGAAATACCAAACAGTCATCTTCAATTAACTGAAACGCAGGAGCAGCAAAATTCATATTCTAGCATGAGCAAGAGAGAAGCACAAATTTGTTTAAGGCAATTCAGCACTGGAATAAGCAATGTTGGGCAATATTTTACCTTTAGTTGTGCTATTATCTAACATCCAATACCAGTTTCAGTAGGTTGTAGGTCTTCTACTGTCTCTTTCTATTGTATTCTTCATTACTCTCCGTCGTGAAAGGGCTACACTGGCCAGCCCAGGAAAACCTCCTTCTGATAATATCTCAAAAGGTGGAAGAAAGTTGAACTACTACAGCTAATTTGATTTTTGAGGGTGAGCTGTGTTTTTTTAATGTGTTTTCTGGCTTCCAAGCTACTGCTTGCTATCTGGCTTCATTATGCATTTGCGTGCTACTAAAACAAAACGTATTTCAAACATGCAAAAGGCAGCACAAATGCAGGCATGTCTAAGCAGCCCTCTAGCACTTCCTACATCCCATGTGTCAGGCTCCAGTCCTCGTGGGCCAAAACACTGCAGACTTCAGCACCCCGCCTCATTAAACACACCTGATTCAGCCTTCAACAGCTGAATTCAGAGCACTGGCTGAATGTAAATGCTAATCTCTGCAGCACTTTGGCCTGGAAGCTCCCTAAAAAATCCATCCCTAAGCAGCTGTAGCTTTTCAAAAGTTCCTCCCACCTTTTGATACATCGTCAGAAAGGGATGTTCCTACACTCTTAAAAAGAAGGTTCTTCAAGTGTTCTTTAGTAAAGGAAATGTTCTATTTAGAACCATGCTTATAATGCTTAAAAGGTTATTTGCATGTTGAAATGGTCCTTCAGACTGATGAGGAATGTGTTGTATATGGTTCTATATAGCACAAAAAAGTGTTCTTCTGTTGTTACAAACCTGATATGGTAACAATGAAAGAACCATTTTTGGTGCTATGTAGAACTGTTCTCAAAAAGGTTCTATAAAGAAACCATATACAACACATTCACCATCAAGCTGAAGAACCATTTCACCATGCAAAGGACCATTTAAGCATTAAATGGTTCTATATAGAAGTCACTGTTCTGAATAGAACCATTCTTTTTACTAAAGAATACCTGAAGAACCATTTTTTTAAGAATGTAGTCTGGCCAGAGAGTCCCTTTAAATATCGTGGCATTACGTGATAATGACATTATAACAAATGGAACATGGACAGTTTATTCAGAGAACTGCAAAACTAAACTGCACTCGAGTCTTTGGTGAACCGATCGAGAAGCCAGTATTTGAATACTGAAATCACTATCAGGTATTCATTTTATCATGGAGGAACAGAGAAAACATATCAAAAATCAAACTCAATTTGAAACTTTAATATTAAACTATCACCTGTCTGTAAAGGATTTTAAGATGCCACTAAAATGAAAAATGCTCTGTGCTCTATAATAAAGTTATTATTATTAAATTTTTTATCTATCCATCTAACTTCTCATTAGCTGCTAGCTAGCGTGAGCATACCATTAGTTAACTAAGAGGCTAGCCACAAACGTTTATTGTAGAACCAGTTTAAATTTAGGAAATTACCTTTTAATGATTACCCAAACAAATTTTCAGAGTCATCAAATGACATGTTTTGTTGATTTTCTAAGTGAAAATAAGTAAACACATCCTCTACAGTGAACAAACTAAAACATGGCAATTCTGTAAATTTTAGTGGTCAATTTCTATTTATTTTCATATTTTATTTTATTTTTAACATATTGAAAAAAAAACATAAAATATAAAATCTGCCATAACATCTACACAGTCCACATTTTGTTATTTTTTTTCCAGTATGTTACTTCAAGCAAATAAACAGTAACTATGCATTAAAATGTGCAGAAATGGATTTTCTATAGAGCAGTGGTTCCCAGCCCCGTCCCGCAATCCACAGTTTTCCTTCATCCCTATGAGCTGTGAATTGACTTGGAGCAAAAATGTAGACCATCTGGGAGGCCCTGAGGACCAGGTTGTAAACCACTGCTATAACAGATGTGTAGCTTATTTTCATTTTGGAAAATCAACAAAAACGTAATTTGACCAGGGGCACCCAAAGGTTTGCATACGACTGTATCTACAGACAAGTCTTTGCAGCGACGGCCGCAGCTGCACATAATTGGACATACTATGCACCCCTACTTTAAGTATTTAAACTACTCAGATTATTCATAGTGTTATTCACTGTAGTATTTCAGCTGCTTTTCTGCATCTACTGTTAAACATCTATTCAACTATTACTACTGCTTACTAATGATTCTACCAGAAGTAGTGCCATTAGACTGCTCTCCACTGTATTTTTGATCTTAATTATAGTCAGCCTCCTAATAGGGCCCACTAGACCAATTTGTGTGGTATGACTTGCACCAAGGCACTGTGCTCTGCAGCTAGCACGTAAAGATCCAGCCCTCAATGTCTTCCACATGGCTGGCTGCACACAGTCTGAGGCTGGGCCGTGTGTCATCTTGGGTTTGAAGTTTCACCACTACCAGCAAATAAGAAGTGATGTGTGTCACTGCAGATCTAAAGGATTACAATGGAGGTATACAGAAAAAGACTAAGAGAGAGTTGCGAATTGTCTGCTTTAGGCCCTGTGGGACTGAGGTAAACTCTCAACTGTCCTTCTATTCACCTTCAACACACCTTTAGCTTTCTCAGATCAGGCTAATAACAATGCCACTGTGTGGACTTAGTGCACATCTGAGGGAATTTTAGTGGGCAAGTAAAGAATTTGAATATTGACGGTATTGACAAAAGTCTTCCTGTTACATCACATTACACTATTTAGTCCTGCAATGCAATTTTATCTGATTCGGTATGATTAAATGTGATCTAGTGAGAATGTATGTAATACGGTGTAACTAAACAAGCTACTGTAGTTTTATTTAATGTGGCATGTTACCGTGTAATCACTGTGCTTGCGGTCCCAGAGGCCAGTGAACTCAGGCTGGACCAGGCACTCTTGCTGTCCTTTTTCCTCCACTGTTTTACCTCCCTCCTTCCTCCTCTCATCCTTCAGGAAGTCTGGAGAGATGCTGACGTCACTTCTGGAGCTGAAAGGAGATGACACTGAGCGCCGGGTCGGGCTCTCCTGAGGACATCAATAAAAAGACAGGGAATGAAAAAGTGTTTATACTCACTCTATTACCTGACTTTCCTACCATAAATAAATTAGGGGAGCATGTTGTGCATATCAATACAAGTTATTAATAAATTTATAACCATTAATGTAAATAAAACAAACTAGGATTTTCATTTGTTTCACCAGCATTAAAAATAATCTACATAATCTAATTTATTTATTAATTTATTACATTGTACAACTTTCAATTAGCAGAGATGGATCAAGTCAGCAATTCAAACTCGAGTCGCAGGTTAACCTGACTCGTGACTCAACCTTGACTCGTGACTTGACTCAAACTTAAATGGCAAGTGACTCAACTTGGACTCACGCTTAACTGGCTTGTGACTCGGACTCGCGCTTAACTGACGCATGACTTGACTCAGACTCAAGCTTAACTAGCAGACAGAATTCATTACATTATACAGCTTTCAGGTAGCAGAGATGGGTCTTGAGTCAACAACTCAAACTCGAGCCGCATGTTAACCTGACTCCTGACTCAACCTGGACTCGTGCTTAACTGACTCATGACTGGCTTGTGACTCGACTAGGACACACGCTTAACTGACTTGTGACCTGACTCAGACTGGCGCTTAACTAAATCGAGGCTCGATTTGGACTCAAGCTTAACTGACTCTTGACTCGACTCCGACTCACACTTCACTGTCTCATGACTCGCCTCAGACTTGTGCTTAAATGACTGATTTGTGACTAGACTCTGATTTAATGAATTAGATTTAATTAGGACTGCCAATTTTAATGCAGTAAATTTACTCGCAGCTTGCCACTGCGTCAGCTTCGATATGGCTTCAAATAACTAGCCACTCATTTTGGAAAAACTTTCATACTGAAAGGCAGAACTGAAGCGCTACATGCAGTAAATTAGTTGCTTAAAGGTAAGAGGCTAAACTAGCAATCGCTAATTTAACTTTAGTTGTCAACTAATCTAGCTGAAGTTTTTTGAGTTACAAATCACATTCTTTTAAAACTTACTAGAACTTCAGTTAGCAAGCATTAAAGCATACTTACAAGCTACCGACTAACCAAATGTTTCAAGCTGTACTGGTCCTTTATTTTAAGCTCTGCATTGACTGTGTAGTGCTTCATTTCTATTTTTTAAACTACAGGTTCTTCTGTAATGACAGTCTCGTTATTTAATGCGGTATTGACTTGTCCTGAGAGACTCAGCTTGGACTCGCATGAAGCAACTTCTGAACGTCTCTGTCAGTTACCATAACATAATTTAGAGCACTGTGTAACTATTGTGTATGTTTTGTTGATTTTCTAAGTGAAAATAAGGGACACATCTTTTGCAGAGAGCACAATTAAATATGGAATTATTCTGATTTTAGTGCACAACTCTATAACCTAAGAATAGCTCAGCCAGTTTGCACTGGAGTCCCTAGAGTTACTGAATAATAAGCCTTAGTATGTAATAAGCCTGAGATTAAATGGGTTAAGGGTTTAAAATGTGCAGAAGTGTGTTCTCTGTATAGGATGTGTTAACTTATTTATGCAGAAATCAACAGATCATGTCATTTGACCAGGGGCGCCCAAACTTTTGCATACAACTGTAGCTCTTCTAACTACTTTTTTGAAAACAAGAAATTCTTTTTACTTTTACTGCATTGATGTTAGGTGTAGAAGTACTTTGCACAGCACTGTGTACCATTATGTTAAAACAAAACATATATAGTACATGTATATATAACACAAGGTACCTCTCTCTCTGCTCGTGGTGGTGGAGGCAGGATGCTCTTGAGCAGCCTCTGCTCTCGCCGCTTCAGCGCTGCGCTCTCAGTCATATGAGGCGGTGTTGGAGGAAAAAGGAGTGCTTGCCGTTTCTCCAGCTTCTCCTTCATCTCTTCTTCCAGGAGCAGTTTGGAAACGATCTCAATCCGCCTGGCTTTCTGCCTCTCCTGGAATTCCCTAAAAAAGAGAACAATTTCTGGTTAACAGGTATTCTTACTAGTTAGGATACATTACTGGAAGAGTAACTCTGAGGGCTTGGCAATTTTTTGTGAAGTCCTACTCCTGCTTTTTGTGTAGGTCCTCCTGTGCTTTCTGCAGGTGCATGAGTTTGATGCTGTTCACGCCTGCTTGTTGCAGTGATTCTCTCCGACGGTTCTCATCCTCTCTTCGTTTCTGCAAGCGAGCCTTCTCCTTGGCCTGTCTAACACGCAGTGTTTCCTGAAACCAAAAATAAGGAAAATGCATGTTCCACAAACACACTCTGTAGTTTTCTCCAGAAGTAACAGGCCATGGACAATAACATAGTATGCGGTACTCTAGCGAATGAGGGTATCAAGACATCCAATTTCTATTTGGAAACAATTATTCACAGCAGCAAAACATAGGCTAATCACAGCCACAGCGTGCAGGAATAATGAATTTGGAAGTAGCTTTAGCAAAACAAGGCTAAAGAACCAAAGACCTTGTTTACACCTGGCCACTTCATGTGACTAATATCTGGACTGTATCCTGATAAGATTTTAGCCACATGCATTCACACTTGGTAGTCAAATGAATCTCCGGTTAGTCGGACTGAAATGCGATTGCTCTGAGGGAATATGCCTGTGCTATGCTAAATATGTACGCTGTCTGCAGTTTGCTTTGCACTGTAATGCCTGTCCACAGTGCTCTTAACCCTCTAGTGTCTAAGGGCATTTTCTCAATTTTTGCATATCTTCTTAAATTTTCCTTTTAGCCCCTGACTAAGCCATGGACCAGCCGGCAGGCCCAAAGTTTTATTACACACTTCTATGACCTAATAAAAGCTCCATTCTTTCCATTATTTAAAGTTGTTCTTCTGGTCTTGGTTGTCCTCTACTGTGATTATCCATGGTTTGTCCACTATTGCTAAGCTTGGTGCATTCTCTGCTTTACCACCATAGGCACATCCTAGGTTCTCATACTGAGGGGCAACAGCAACAGATGCTATATGTGAATGTCACACTGCAAATGCTACAACACTTTGTTAGCTTTTTTGTGCATGAAGTGATGATGCAATGATACACAGCTAGCCAAGAAACAACTGAACAAGCAACAGTCCAATCATTTTTGATCTCCTGAAATCAGGGAAGGAAGGTATATGTATAAAAAGAGCAGTGATTTCTGTATGATTCATCCAAAGTAGATGTACATACACTTGACATTCAGCACCGTAACAACAACATAGTCATCATTCATTTCAAAACATGTGCTGGAGAAGAGAGTCAAAACAAGACAAACTTTGTCACTGTCCAATTACAGCATTCTATGCGGCTTTGCAAATGTAAGAAATTTCTATTGTTGAATCAAATTTGTTTCTTTTATGTTCCTTTCTCAGTGCTGTCACAAAATTACTTAGCATACTCAACGGGGGAGCTCACTCTCTTCAGTAACATGTACTGAAGGGATGCAAAAATCAGAGAGAAATAAATCTTAAACAGTGGGTAGTCAAATAGTGCACAAGCCTCTGCTTTCATGATTTTCAAAATGCACTTACTGATACATGCAGGATCTAGGCCTGTGGTGGTAACAGAATCATGTTATTGGCTAAGCATGTGGAAAATAACCATGGTAAACAGTTAAAAAAGTGACTTTTTTTGTTTGTGAAATCTTTTTGTTTGTGTTTTTTTTCTTTAAATGGGAAATAATAAAAAATGAATCACAAAAAATTGACATCTTTGTTTTGGTTTTCTTTATATTGTTATTTTTTATATTCACAAAGCACTTACAAATGTATATGGCGGCAGCAGTCCATAAGTGGAAGTGTGAGCAAGCTTAGTTGAATGTGAGCAGTAACATAGTTTGGGGAATTTGTTGTTGCAGTACACTGTCATCTTTAATTTGGCCACAAAACTCTAATTACTCTGGTAAGACAGAACAGAATTGTGAATGTCACACGAATTTTAACGTCCAAAGCCATGGTGCACGTAGTCCAACAGCCTTGCCTGATTCCTTTTGTCCAAGGCTGTTTCACCTGATGCTCATCTGTATGAGACAGTGTTTTTCCTGAGACCCGAAGCTGTTTTGTCTGATGTCTAAAACCTGACATTGTGTTCTTAGGATGTCCTAAAACGTGCACGATAACGTATGTGACTTCTATACGGGTAACAGCATGCAGAAACATAAACATGAAATATATATGAAAGTGTCTTTCAGGAAAATCAAAGGAATAAGACTAGGGCTGTCAAACCATTAAAATAATGAAGTGCAATTATTCAAATTATGCTGTCTAGTTAATCGCGATTCATCACATTTGTCTTATGTGCTCCAATTTGAACATAGACAGTTTTTTCCATTTAAAAGCAGTCAAACAGATAACATAATCTTCATCTGAATCTAGCTATTACTTTTATCAATTCAGGGTTGACACGAACCCAAACATTAAAATCACGTGAACGCAGAGTTTTCATCACCAACATCTAGTGATATCAAGAGTTATCACTGTCAGCCCTCCAAGCAGTTTGGAGTCCTCGAATATAGAATCAGCTAATTCTTAGTCTAGGTTTTGTGTTTTAATGGGTAATATGAAATATGACAACAGCTGCACAATTTATTATTATGCTAGGCTGCCAAAGAATACTACAATGAAATGACTACATCTCATAATGTGTACATAATGCTATATTCTGAACTATATGTTTATGTATGTTTATATGTATGTACATACGTATGTTTATGTTTCGTCTCTTTAAATATGATCTAGTTTTTCTGACTTCTCTGATGATGTGGCTGTTTCTGCTAACGCAGCTTTAAAAGCAGAAGCAACGTGATGTGGCTGGCAAAGCATAACGTGATAGTTTTGTTTTCAACACAAGAGATAAACGTGGTGAGAGTGCATGGTCTTGGCAGCACGTCACTTGCAACAAACGGCAAAAAACAGATTTGAATAGCCACAGGCTCACATTTTACGTGCCGGTGTTTAGATGAACACTGCAAAAACAAACAAAGGAAAGAACTGGAAGAGCTTATTTTAGCCAATACCTGTTCCTTTAAAATATAACTGGACATCTCTAAATTTAGTACATCTAATAGTAAAAATATCATATTTTTAGACCATCAATTTTTATATCTAGTCTTTACAAGAACCTTTTTTTATTTTTATTTTTTAGCAATATAAACAGTCAGTGGGTCAGCAGCTGGGCTTCAAGCCGGAACTATGGATGGGTTAAAAGCCAAACTAGGCAAAAACATTAACGGCACTACTCATTTAACATGTTCACTTTGACACTAAATAAGACTAAAATCAGGTCACAGAAGAAAGTTACACATTAGTGTCAGAATAGTTCTCCATTTTAAACTTCACTACAGTGACTGGTTTCCTGTGAAATGCAAAGCTTCCATAAGGATCACCTGTGCACTTCCTGACTTCTAATTTTGTTATGTACCTGAGTGGCAGCTATATTGGCCTTCAGTGATACCGCTGCCTCCATCCTCCTCTTCATCAGCTCTTTCTTCTTCTCTTCTCTCTCTGCCTCTTTCTGGCGCATCCTTCAGCACACAGATAAATTACGGCTTTTATCAGCATTCAGCATGAAATATAAGACCAAGGTGTGAAAATACGTTATGACAAATGTGTGTGCGTTACCTGTTGAGAGTCTGTTTGAGGAAAACCACAGCTTTCCGTCGACCAGCCAGGGCCTGATCCCGTCTCCTCTGGTCAAGCTCTGCCTGTTCTTGCAAAGCCATCTCCTGTTCACTGACACACAGTAACAAATCTGGTTGAGTGGAAAAGCTTGGAAACTCTTCGGAATTATCTGGATTTCTGCATGAATGGCTTCTAAATTGTAACCTGTTCTTCATGATATACTCAAGAGTATTCCATCAATCCCCTTAATTATTTAAGCTGGTCTCGAAATTTTCTGACTGTCTTTGTGGTCTAAGTGTAAGAGTAAGAGCTACTGCCGCCCCAATTATTAACAACAAAGAATCCAGCAGTCAAAAATACAACAGATTATGACAATACGACCCAGGTCTTCAAATGTAATTTCTCTACAATGAAAGATCAGAATTGCTATGGTGTTTTCTGTGGTTCTTTGTGGCTGTGAAAGCTGGACAACAAAAAAGCAGGACAGGAAAAATATTGATGCCTTTTACTTTGGTGTTGGAGAAGACTTTTGACAGTACCTTGGACAGCAAAGAAAACAAACAAATAGATTCTTGACCAAACTTCCAAACAGTGCTGGCTTAAAATATTTGTTTAGTAAAGAACAAGCACTCTAAACTGCTGCATGTGGTCCTTGTTAGGTAAGCCTGTTTTCATGTATTATTTTGATTACATTAACTTGCGAACTCTTTGAAACTGTCCAGATTTCCATATTTCATACATCTGGAACATTATAGTCAAGCTTATAAATGACTTTACAGTGCTGTATCTTTCTATCTTTATTGAACAAACGGTTTAAACAATCACTGAAGAAATTTTCCTTTCTTGGACTTATTTTTTTTACCCGATTTTCTCCCCAATTTAGTCGTCTCCAATTCCACCCGCTAGTTAGGACTCCCCCAGTCACACGATGCTATCAACGCTAGGAGGGTGAAGGCTAACACAGGCTTCCTCCGAGACCTGTGAAGCCAACCACCGCTTCTTTTCAAGCTGCCGCTCACGCAACGTCATTGGACAGCTGAACACGCTCGGAGAAAAGCGCCAACCGCCAGATCTGTTACGTCAGCTAACAGACGCCTGCGCTGACTAGCATCGTGCTGAGTGATGGGGGAGAAGGAGGGGCCATCCTACCCACCCAGAGAGAGCGAGGACTTGGGCTCTCTTGGACTCCCGGCTACGGACGGCTGTAGCATCACCAGGGATCGAACTCGCGATCTCCTGATGATAGGGCCAACGCTTTGACGGTTGCGCCACTCGGGAGCCGTAATGAGGAGCCATTAATGCTGAAGGTTAGCTAGCAATAGGTTCCCGATCCTTCTGGCTTTCTGGGTTTTAAACAGGAGGAGTCAGAAAAGTTGCCACAGGGATAACTGGCTTATATAGGCCAAACATTCCCTTTTTGAAATTTGGATGTTTTCATTGTGAAGCAGAATTCACCCACTAACAAGGAACGTCAACTGGGTTAGACCATCGTGACAGTTAGCAGGGTTAGTTTTACCCTACTGATGCTGTGTTGTTGCAATAGTAATCCTGCTCAAGATGAGTGCATGCGCTTGACTGAGAAGTCACTGGTGCCAAGCTACCATCTGTGGGATTATGACTGAGTGCCTCTAAGACTTCCACCTAAACATAACTATACCGCAGTGCCGGAGATCTTCGGTTGGTCTGGCATAGCTGGAAATCCTTTCAATGGATGCTGGTGAGCAGAGCCTTGCATGAATTGGCTGGGGTACAGGCATACGAGTGCCGCACCTTCTCCTATTGCGCACCTCAATTTGTCTTGAACCTGGTGCTAAATAAATGGTAATGCACCTGATTTGAGAGTTCAAGGATTTTTTGTTTCAGATCTTTTTTCCCCTACACAATCGTTAAAGGTTAGGAGCTAAATTATCTATTCATTCGAAAAATCTACGCTTGTCATACTAGTGTTGAGATGTGTCACTTTTCTTACTTTTTGGCACGTAGTGCTCTCAGTCTGGCTCCTTTGGCAATGTTCTTCTCGCGCTGGATTCGTTGATTGTGTTTCTCCTGTTTCTGGGCCTGGAAATTCTTCTCCTCCTGTTCCACCTCCTGGCGCAGGCTGAGGAACCGACCAAGTTCTACCTCCACCTCACACAGCTCCAGTCTGAACAAGAGAGCAAAATTTACAGTACATTTACTTTAAATACCTTCTATGGCAAAGTAGCAATGGGTTCTCAGCAGACACAGAGACAAATATTGAAAAAGGTTAATCAAGGCAAAACAAGGCAATTGTCCAATAAATCTGTCCTCCATTTAACCCTTAGAAGTTGCGATAGTATTTAAATGTAATTGTATATTTGTAAATTCAACTGATCATTTGCAAAATTCTGACAAGATTCGCCTCCCTTAGTTATCGAAAATAAAATAGCTTCATAAGAAGTATAAGATGTTCAGCACGATTTTATTTTTGTTTCATGTTTGAGAAGTGACAAATAATACATGTAGGCCGATTTAAAGTGAAATGGATTCTGGTGTTTACATTAACCAGAGAAATTGTTTATTTGTTAGCCTGCTGCCCTTTTCCTATTGTAAGGAACTCGTACCGAACCGTGATGTCCAAACTGTGGTGTGAACTGAACCCTGACATTTAATTCACAATCTGTAAATTCATCAACAGTTTCAAGTCTGCACTTCTGTTTCTACTAGTAAATTTTAGTTTCAACTAAAGTGCCATTAACCTTTAGGAGGTGTTTTTCTACCGTTTTGTTAGTTTTTTATACAATACCTGTACCTCTTAACCTATGAACAAATTCAGTGAAGTTTTTAAACATTCAAAGAGCCAGATTTTTTTCCCTGTTCTCAATAAATGCTCTTGCTCTCCATTTAAACTGTATCATCTGTATTTAAGAAAATGTATAAATGTTTAAAGAGATTTAAGTTGGAACTCTTGATTAAGGCATTTATTGGCTGATTATAAAAATTGGAATATCATTTTAAGGTGTGTTTCAATATGAAAATGTACCAGAAATAGGCATTTCAGGATGCATTTTTGCAAAACTTTAACTTTTCATCAATTTCAAATCATAATAAAATATCTTCTCCTCTACTGACAAACACAAATATGGGATTCATTGGAAGTGTAAAACTGAATTTCTCTGCTTGTTTCAATGAGCTAAGAAGTAAATACAAAATTACTATTGTCGTCCTTAGCAAAAACTGTGACTTCTAAGGGTTAATTAAAGGGCAATTGCTAAGAGCAGGGAACAGACTAGTTTGTGGGCTATTTTAAGATGATATGAGAATAGGACTCATTAACTAAGTACCATGAAAATGAGAAGATGGGAAACCCTAGTGGACTATGAGTGATTTGGTGAGCCAATATGGAGAGATCAGACTCACTCATGCTCCTGCAGGACCATGGCTAGATGAGCCTCCAGCTCCTCCTCTCCTTGGAGCTGTGCGCACAGACACTTGTGCCGGGCACGTAGGCGGAACACGGCCGCGCTGCCGAGAACAGCACACACCGGGGACAAAGAAAGAACAGATGCTTCTTCTCTTCTATCAACAATGCATATCTCAATTCTCGTTTTCTGTTTTACCTGTTCTCTGCTTGTTTCTCCCTCTCTATCTCCGACTCCAAGTTGTCCCTCTCCTTCTCCAGCTCAGTCAGGTGGAGACGGCAGGCTTTCAATTCCTCTCTGTGAAAAGTACAGTAGAGAAGAAGAAGGCTGGCTGGAGATTGAAATGGCCTACAAAAGCTTTTGATGGCGAAGTGCAGCTTTCCAAATTAGTTTCAAAAGAGTCTCTTATTCAGCAGCAGTCACGGGGGAGCTAGAAATTAATCATACCTCAGCTCAGTGCAGAAAGTCACATGCTGCGTTTTGAAAGAAAAGAGACTGAAAATGCATTATTTTTTTCTCAGGTTATATAACACTTTTTATACATACTATATATATATATATATATATATATATATATATATATATATATATTATATACATATAAGAGTTTGCTGATGATCCAGTTTCAGAACTTTACAGTCCTCATAAAGACATTTTCATAAAAGATGACATAGTTAGAAGGACTTAAATATTTCTGAACCTAAACAGTGCAATCCTGCTCTGTATTTAAGCTCTTAATTAACATGCAGCCAGCATACAGTCAGATCTGCTGCCAGAATAATTGGTACGCATGCACGTCTATGTTCAGCCAGTAAAATGGATCAGCATGTGGAATTGGAGCTTTCTGTGTTGTGTCATGTTTACGATCTCTATATAAAACAAGCAAGAAGCTGCCTTTATTGAGCTACTTTCTGACATTCACAACAGAATTCATAAAGCTAAGGGCTTTTATGTTTCAATCAGATCAACAGCGAAGGGCAACTGAATTGTGAAGTACATTCTTACAGTCTGCACATTTGTATGCATGTTTACTGTTCAGCAGCAGCAGCAACCACTGACTTTCTGCACCTTCCAACCAGTGCTATAGCACCACCGAATACACTTCAACGTAAAAAAACGCGAAACGCACTCTCTGGAGCCAGTTTTTGGTTTGTCTTTTCTGGGCTACTGTAGACACATGGTGGCACAACATGTTGGAAGATGTATGTTTTTAATCTGTTAATGGCGGAGAGGTACATGCAGGCTGTTGTGAAGCAAAACAGTGCCTAAACAAAACTTGTCTTCTATTGTTTACTATTTTACCATTATCAACATTACATACAAAACTCTGAGGACACATATAGGTTCCCTGCTTTTTTTGGAAGGTAAATACAATGATCATATTTGCATTATACACACCGCGACTCCTGGTTCCTGTCACCCCATTAGAAACGCGAGTCGGTACGCTTCTCTACAGTGAACCATCACTCTAAATGATTTCGCTTATGATGTTAATACTTGAATCTGGCCAATTTTAAAAATTGGTGGAGCTCCCCTTTAAAAAGAAAACTGTGCTTTCTTGCATTGCCATTAAAGGGTTAAATAAGCTGTAAAGTAAGTACTGTACTACTGTGATGATCTTAAATGGTAGAAGCAGGTTCCTAACATGGAAACAGGAGTAGACATATGAAAAAAAAAAGATCCGCACTGCTTCCAAAAAGAGCCAACAGTATGCAGATCTTGTTAGAATAGTGAAGCCCAAACGTGGTAAATACAGCACAGCAGATATACCTCAAACCTACATAAAGCAATAGAAATTCCCCATTCATCTGACTGCACACAGCCTCATGTGTCTCATGGCAGCATGTTCTGGAATTCTGACAGCATGTTTGTTCCACGCTGCTATTCAAATACAACGTGACCTCTGAGCCGCTCAATCCACCCACCTAACAGCTTCTCCACAGTTTGTGCTAAAGGCTAGAAACACATATGGAAACACATTATGTCAGGTGGATATGATTTTTTTCTGCCTTGAGAGTTTTAAATATATCCACCAATTAAAGTGCAAACTGTCCTGCTGTTAAGTGTGAAGGGGGCAGGGGTCACATTACAGAGATGATGATCTGTCTGTGTACATGCATGTGTGCGTATGCAGACCTGGCCTTCAACACGTTGAGCTCCTTCTGCTTGTAAAAGCTGTCCAGCTGGTCCAGGTTCTTTCTCAGCTTGAACATCCATGTGCTGTCAACGCAGCTTTTCTCTCTCACGTCAACCTTCATACCTCTAGACTCACTCACTTCCCTGACAGAAAGACAGGCTGTCACAAAGACATACAAGTGCAGCTGGATATTTTTATACACGAGATGGAAAATAATGGACTCACCACTCTGGGTCCTCAAAATCCATCGAATAATCAACGGGAAAGTCATCTGCATTCTTGAAAACGTCCTCCCAAGTTCCATCTTCTTCTTCTTTTGAGTTTGATGGAAAAAAAGCATAAATACATCTGTTCATGATAGTACAAATCTTTCTTTTGTGCACGTTCTTTTGATCACTCACCTTCTGTGTCTTCATCTGTCCAGGTAGTTTGTGGAGCATCATGCTCAGATCCTGATATTGGTGCTTCTGGAAAGTTCTCAGAGATACTGTCCTCCATAGTGATGTCGACAGGAGCTGCAGAGGTGGGTAGTCTCTGCTTACATTTACTGTATTGATTAAAGGCAACCGTTAGCTTCACAATCTTTTTTGTGATTAATTTATTCTGTTTAAAAAAAAATAAAAAGGAGATGCATAATTCAGTCCCTGAGATGTAAACAAAGTCAATCAGAGTGGTTTCATGTGAAATGGTGCATTAGAGAAACTTTATAGTGGCAGTGATAGAAACCAGGTGTTGCGACCAATGAACCGACATGTCTTCTGAGGAATTCTATGGTGATTTGGGTAAAATATGAAGAAATCAGAAAACGCTGACTTTCTATGGGGACTATTTTTTCTGTACAACATCCTGCGTGTAACATGAATTGAAAAATCTTAGATACATGCCAGCTTTTGTAAGACAAAATAGTCCCCAATGAAAAAGTTTTTTTCAGATTTTCCACTATATTAGCATCATCGACACTACATATAAGCACCCAGCAGACACGTCAAGGTTCACTGTTGGTTTTGGATAGTAAATAAAATGGCTATATTTGTGTTGTAGACACGGTGACCCCTGATTTCTATCGCCACCATTGTAAAGAAAGCAGAGTATGTAAGTTTCCCTACAATGAACCACTTCACATCAAGCCATTCTGAATGACTTTACATCTCAATAAACGAATTATTTAGCAATTTTGAAAAAATGGTGGAATTCCCCTTTAAGCTAACTCATCCCTGCTTAAAGACGAGCTGACGGGAACACAAACGCCTAAAAGTTCCGTATAAAATCTATTCCGTTACGACTTACCCAGTCAAAATAGCTTGTCCAAGCGATGTGTCGTTATCTTAGGTTTGTCATAACTACTGTATGACTGTATTACTACTGTATTTTAGCTACCATGTTTATTCCTCTTACCTTACGCTAATGTTAACGTTACCTTTGGCTGGCTTCAGTTAAGCTAGTTATCCTGGATTAGCTTCAGTTAGCAGCCCGTGTGGCTGACGAAGTTCAGAAGCTGAGCATTTTATTTAGCTATGCATGACTGTAATATTAACTATAGATAATCAGTTTTTTGTCAACTTTCCTATGTTACTATTTTCTTTACAGTCACTTGTCACTTCTCTTTTACTTACTGCTTCAGTCCAGTTCAGTCGAGTGAGCTGCTTCTGTTTGCTGCGTTTCCATGGACACCGCAGTAAGGATGAGGCCAAGCGGCGCTGTTCTGGGATCAGGTTTAGTTTATGTAAACCGCTGGTTCAAGTTCTTTCAGAGGCGGATGACTGTTTCAGGATCTGTGTGAGTAGATTCATACATAACGCGGGTTTGCGGAGATTTGAAGGGTTTTCAAACGATTTGATGCATGGACGGGTGCATTTTAGATTGGATTATGTTTTATGTAAGCTGTTTTTGACAGACTATAGCCTGTAGAAGCTTATCGTGATTGTAGTGGCAGACATATGTGGAGCCTACTGTTTTGATCAGTTTAGTAACTACAGTGTCCCCTAAGGTGACATGGTGATTATTTTTCAATAAGGCATGGCCACGAATTAATATATTGAGGCCACATAATACATTGAGGCCACAACTTAATGTATTGAGGCCAGCACTAAATATTCTTAAAACCTGAGGCCTGAAAATGTTAATTTGTGGCCTCAGTATTGTAATTAGTGGCCTCAATATAGTAATTCCTGGCCTCAATATAGTAATTTGTGGCCTCAATATAGTAACTTGTGGCTCCAATATATTAATTTGTAGCCTCAATATAGTAATTTGTGGCCTCAGTATACTAATTTGTGATCCCAGTACACTCTCAGAAAAAAAAGTTGTGAAACTGTCACTGGGGCAGTACCCCTCTTGTCACTGGGGTGGTACCCCCAAGGGTACATCTCAGTACCAGGGAACATAATTGTACCACAATCCATTGAAATTCTAGTTGTATTGACTCCACACACCCTGTCTCGTCTACAGGCTTTTTATTTTATTGTTCTGTTTTAAAACATTAGTTTATGAAAAAGTACAAATACATACTTTTCACCTGGAAAAACTTATTTAAGGTTCACAATTGGACATTAAAACCACTGTTGTACCTTTAAGGGTACATTTACATTGTTTGTACCTTGATGAACAAAAAATGTACCTGCACAGTACCTTTATTTCTAACAGTGTATAGTAATTCATGGCCTCAATATATTAATTTGTGGCCACACCTTATTAAAAAATAATCAGTAGTTTGGGTAACCAACAGAGAAAGATTTTAATGCATGACCTACATAGAAAACTTTGCTCAGGAAAAAATACAGAAGTAGTGAATCAATATCTTTCTTTTGTTTCTTGAGGCAAAATGTGGCTTGCACAAGATCATATGTTGAATTTCAGTTTCATGGGTATTGGACCAGGGGAGGGGTGGGGGGAGGTGGGGGGGTTAGTAAGTTCAGGGTTTTCAGTTTCATTTCTATTATCGTTTCAATTTAAGCAAGAAGGTAATTGAAGATTCTGTTCTGTTTCAAGGGACATGAACACAAAAGAAGAACATTTGTACAGAGAGACGAGGACAAAAGGAAAATGAGAAAAAATAAATTGTCCTTGTTTGCCATTTAGCTGAAAAACAACAGGATATATGCTGCCATCAGATACAAATTGAAGGTGGCATGCAAATAACTGCCGCTTCCTCTATTATTGTGGTGGCGGAGTTGAGTTGATAAGGATCTTCCTCCCCTCAGCAGGATTTCTGGAACACACAAGGCAAAAGGGCTGAATAATCTGAAAAAGACTGTGAGACGTTCATTTATTGCATTATTGCTCATTCGCACTGACAGAAAACCAGAAGTTATCAGCTACAGCCTTCAAATGATTCTGACTGCAGCTGAAATTGAAGGCTTTTACATAAGGCTACACTGTAAAAAAAAACAAAAAAAACTTTAACTTAAAAAATACTCAATTTAGTTATAAACAATTAAACTGGTTTTATTCAACTCAGATAATATTTTGAATGAAACTTATGTAGGTTCAACAGACCATTGTAAACCTTTTTGCTCAATTCTGATTTTTTTTCTCAGATCCTTTCTGTCTTTGTTCTAGGTCTGGAAAAGAGTGTTGTAGTGTATTACTGCTCTAACACATCCAGTTGACTTTAGGAATAAGACCCTGTTCACACCTAGTATTAGCATCTGTTTCAAGTGATCTGATCACAAATAAACAGCGAGGTGTATACCCGTTGCTGTCAGGGATGCATTGGGGCACTTTAGCATTCTCACCACAGATGTTATGTGCTCATTTGTGTCCCTAAACAGCTCCAAAGATGGTTTGAGTGTTTGGATCACAATGTGTGTACATGATACATTAGCACATTAGACATTGTTTGCATCCGTACTTTGTGCTGCCCACTAATGATGGGGTTACACAAGACGCAAGTTTATGTAAAGTGTGAAAGGAGCTTTAGTTGCAGGTGGATATATCAGCAGTGGTGGGTAGCGCTGTCGCCTTACAGCACGAAGAACCTGGGTTCGGTTCCCTGGCCAGGCAGGGTCCTTTCAGTGTTGAGTTTGCATGTTCTCCCCATGTCTGCGTGGGTTTCTTCTGGCTGCCTGTCCAGAGTGTTTCTTGCCTCCTGCTTGGATAGGCTTCAGCATCCCCCATGACCCAGGAGGATAAGCAGCAAATATGGTGTGTGCATGTGTGTATATATATACTGCACTAAATTCTAGCATGTATTAGTTCATTAAAAGTCTATAAATGTTTAAAGAAATAGGCATTTAGTATGCTATTTTTCAGGAAAAAGTGGAACATGTCCATGTCCACCAAAAGTGGCTCAAATCTGATTGGAAAAAATCTGATTTTGCGTTCACACCAGATCGGATCTGAACCAAATCACATATAAAATCATATATGCGAAGTTTAGACCCTGTAATGAAAAGGGAAAAACTCTTCTGCAAGAACAGCATTCATGCCAGAGGCTACAGGACATCACTGACTGGTCAACGGTTTGCAAATAAACAGGCACAGTTACAGTTCTGATGAGTGATCGGATGGAGCAGCCTGTAATGCGTCCTTCACTCTCGTTCTTTCTCTCTTGGGGTTGAGACTTAGAAACCAGGGCAGGTAGGAATGCATGAGAAAACGCTGGCTGCGTTTCAAACCTCCGGAGAACAACAGTGACACAGATTCTCCCACCAACAGCTGATAGCTCCCTCCACACTGTACTGGCACACTGGCTCTTGTTTGGCGGATGAGTGAAAGCAAATGTAAGCTACCTTGGCCTGGGTGGGATTTGCAGGCTAGAATGGTGCTCATGTAGCCAGCTCAAGACTACATCAAAATGTGCCACAAAAGTCTTTCACTTAGTGTTTTCTTACAGGAGTGTTTCATGTTAGCATGTTAGCCTTTCCAACAAATTGTTAAGAGAAGAAGTTCAGGAAAAAACTAATTTTAGACTAATTTTCCCATATCGTGAATGTAGGTTGATTAGCCAACGCATGTTTGATATCTGAAATCTGCTTCTTTAGTTTTGCACTGAAGGTAAGAATCTAATATACCGATCACAATGAAATGAGTTTCAAATCCACCAATTAGCAATATGTAAACTGCATACCTAAATCTGTTAACCCCTGAGATCTTAAGTAATTTCAGTTGCATATGTGGTTCCAGACTCTATGACTCTTTAAAACTGAATATGTTGCATAGCTAACAGTATTACCTGCCATCTTGATACCTCAATTTTGTCTGTATTTTTGTCCATTTTAATACATAGTATGTAGTTGTACCATGTCAGAAACCACATAAGCATGTCTATTTCAGATCACTTAACAACTCGGTACATGTTAAAGCAAATGTGTGATGACTTAGGTATGCAGTTTGCACCATGCTAACCTGAAGGATAAATTTCCATTGCTTGTTAGCTACATTAGCATTGCAGCTCCAGTACAAAACGTAAGGCACCCAAACATCTTGGCTGATCGATAACATTTGGGGTAAGATAAAAACTGTAAACTGTGTTCCTTTAAGCTGTCTATAACTATTTCTAATATCCTTACACTTAGATGTGTGGAAGGAGAATATTTTACACAAACACAATAGAACTAAAAGTGATAAAAAATTACACACAGAGAATCTGTGTTCATACCCTAAAGACAAGGGGTCTTTTTCTTGTCTGATGATGTGCAAGTGTAACTTGCAAAGAAACAGTTCCAAGTGCAAAGGTAAAAATTGTAATCATGGGTGCCTCCACATATCTAACTTCTGACCCATTATGATAATTTGACACTGGAGGTTCGGTTCTCATAATACATCCATTTGCAAGGAACTGTTCATATAAGATTTATTTACCTGTGTTGAATGAATAAGCATTCATGCTCACATTATTGTGTCACAGTGCCCAGTTCTACAGCCAACCATCTCAACTACTGGCCCCCTTAGAGAGACTCTCACACAACTGGTGCGCAGACAGGCCTCAGAAGAGGCAACAAGCACGTTCACTGAACTGGTCAGGTGGCCTACTGGAAAATGTTCAAATTCCATGACATCTAGCCCAGCAATATAAACCAATAAAAGATTTTTAACATAAGTAAGGATTTGAAACTGAAAACATTTTAACTTGCACTAATAGATTATACATCCCTTTTTCAGTTTTGTAGTGTAGTTTCACCTTATGATTCTTTTAAGCTCAGAAGATAAATCTGCTAAACAGTGTGACACCCTCGGTACACTGATATCACTAAAATAGGTGTTCCGTGGCCCGTCAAGTGATAAAAATACCTGGAGTCCACTATTGGCCTACATAATAATAGGTCTGTGCTGTAGCCATGAGTGGAGCCTCACTTAGAAATGGACGTACAGTAAGGGCAAAAGAAAATGCCAAGGTGGTCATTTTGAACTCCTGAGTCTAGTCTAGTGGTTTTTCTAACAAAAAATCTTGAGAAGTAAACATATTTAAGTTTTTTAAGTTTATTAAATTTAGCCTTATGACTAAAGGGGCATCTTAGAGCACTGAAGTGTGTGGTTAACCAAATGTTTTAACCCAATAAACAGCAGGTTTATTAGTCTGTTGTTAATCCTTATTATTCAGTAACTACTATTAATTTTTCAGTAACAAGTAGAGATTACACAATACCACTTATTTTCTGAAACCAATACCAATATTAAAACCTTGAGTATTGTCCAATACCGATGCAGATCTAATAGCTGTAATATCCTGCCCAGCTTTCCCCTTGTGATTGTCTGTTTGTGTCCTTGTTTACCTTATGTTGTGTCTCTAGCCATGTGCTTTTGTTTGTTTTGGTTCTCCTGCCCCACCTTAGCTCCACCCTTTAGTCACACCCCTCACCCGTGTTTGATCTGTAGCCCTGCTCTGTAATTGTTCCCAGGTGTTCTTCATATTTATACCCCTTGTGTTTGTCCTGCACCTTGCTTGGCATTGATTGATTGTTTCCAGATTATGGTTTTGTGTATTTATTTCTAGTATTTTAAACTCAGTTCTGTTTGGTTGTTCTGTTTAGTATTCCTTTTATTTGCTTCGTTTACTTTTCTCGTTTAGTCTTTCCCTTTGTTTCTGTGCTGGCACCTTCATCATGGATTTCAATAAAGCCGACTTCATCATGAATCTCAGTAAAACCTACTTGCATTCTGCTTCCTCTTAAGTTCATCTGCTGTTTAAAGCTGTCAAGTGAGTTGTCATTTGAAAGCTTCACTTAAGGTGAGTGTCTTAAAGTTGGCTATCATGATCAAACTACTCAAAGACTCTTCTACCCCACAGGAAGAAATACATAGCTAACAACATCACATCACACAGTGTGAGCGTGAGCTATTTTAGGATAGATGTTTTTCAAAGGATTGGATCAGCTTCACTCTGTTTTTCCCCTATGATGTCCGATCCAGCATTTCCTGCTGATATCAGACTGACGCCTACTTGTTACTAAAGATGTCATCTCTAGTAACAAGTATTCATCTAAAATGTAAATTCTGTAGTTATGGCTGTCAGAAGCTGAGGAGTGATCCCTCATACAGGCAGATACAGTTTTACTTCCATGTTGAGCCCCTCGATCATTCCAGGCCATGACCACACCTCTGACTTATATAGTAAGTTATCAAATCCAGTCTAAACACAAAAGAGTCACGCTAATGAGTGTGCTCTGTGAAGGCAGCACAGTTATTAGGAGAAATACTGTGATGTATCTTGTAACTCTTCTATGTTTGATCTGAGTCATTCTTAGTTTTAGTTCTTTACAGTGTTCCTCATGCTCTGAGTGAGGGTGCGTTCTTGCTTGGCAAGTGATAATGTCCACCAAACTTTCTGAACTATGCTCATGCTGTTCTCTGTTCTATCTGGGCTTGTTGGTTTTATTTATGGCATGTTTTATCTGTCTTGTGATATTAGTGCAATAAGCCATGAGACTCCCTGTGTTACCATGGTTTTCCACTATGCAAAGCAGGGTGAAATCCCTCTAACACAGCCTTGACTGGCTTTTTTCTTTCAGAAAACAGAAAACCTTGGCGCCGTGATTTATGTGTGCAGTAAAATGTGTATATGTAGTATTTTATAATGACTTCAAACGTGCCTCAGCCTTGTTTTAAAACCAAAACTGTCCATTCTATAATTGCAAATTTAGAGTTTACAAAGAGATGATAAAGCACAAGTGTGGGTCAAAACAGCATCAGAACCTCATCTTTTCCATGTACCAAAGAAGATCTGCAGACAGTTCACTCTGTCTTTGGTGTGTTTAGTTGCTTTGGTCTGTATTGTGTTCATACTTCAAATAAACCGCACCAGTTCACTTTGAAAAGTATCGAGACCAACCTTCTCAGGGGGTCTCGGTTCACTTATTTGGTAAGTACCAGAGTTCGGATGGCAGCGTTCTCACTTGTTCTAACAAAACGTACTAACAGCAATCGCCCCAGGGGGTTTGCTAATTGAACCAAGTCTGAACGCACCCTAAAGCGAACACGCTGGTATGACTGCTTTTAATTTGGTTCGTTAGAACAGGTGAGAACGCTGCAATCTGAACCCTGGTGCTCACTGAATAAATGGACTGAGACCCCTTGAGAAGGCTGGTCTCGGTTCTTTTCAAAGCAATTTCCGGTGCAGTTTGTTTGAGGTATGAACGCAAGGGCACGGGAACACAGTGAGGTCCAGTGGCTTATTGCTTTAATATCACAATACAGATAAAACAATACATAAATAAAACCAGTGGCCCTGATAGAACAGGGAACAGCATGATTCAGAAAGTTCAGTGGACATATAACAACTGTGATAATGCCATAAACTCTTCCCAATCCGTTGTGGCCATTTACTCTTATGACTTCTGTTTACATATTTGTGCTTCAAACCAGAACTAAAATGCTCCAACATTCATTTTCTGCTTTGGTCCGGACCAAGAGACCCTAAGTATAAACGCACCCTGAGCTTTTCCTCTCACTTGGGCTGCTCATTAGACCCGCGTTGCTATAGAGCTGCTTTGTGACAGTGCCTGTTGTAAAAAGGACTATGCAAATTAATTTGAACTGAAGCTTTTCTTGGAGCTAATAAGTGCCTGCTCACCCCCTCACACTCACCACTTACAGCGACCCTTCGACTGTGTGTGTGTGTGTGTGTGTCTAAGTTCACCTCTCTGCCCCACCTACTTATTGTATTCTCATGTTTCTCCGCCCCTTCATGCATATTCATAACACGCGCGTGCCTATTTGCATACAGCCGTTCTCATGCTGAATAAAGACTCCAGTGTCGTGTTTTTATCCTTCTCTTTTATCTGTCAACTTTTTCACTGTGGCTGTGTAGCTTGCCTTAAGAGAAAACACGGACAAATAACACTCAGAAGAAGACAAGACGTCGAACTAAACGGCCAGTGACAAATTTTTCTGTGGGAAATGGAATAAAACCAACTTTCCACGACGACCGAAAAAGGAGCTTCGCTGGGGAGCTTGGCTGTTACATAACAGCAGAGGACTGTCTTTTTTAAAGTCGTGGCCGATTGAATCTGACGTTGTTCTCGAAGCAAACAGCGCGGACAGAGAGAGAGAGGAGTAGAGAGAGGGGGATTAGAGAGAGAGAGAGAGAGAGAGTTCAGCACAGTGCTGCGCTGGAAGCACGGAGTTGGCTGAAGAGAAGGATATAGCTATCCGCCTGAAACATGGCTCGTCTCTGCTGTTCACTTTGCTCAGCTCCTCCGCTAACTCGAGTTTAATCTCCTGTCAGGAAAACTTCAAAATGGAAGCGCTCACTTTCCTCGTGCGGCTCCTCGCGCTGTTCGTCGGCGGGAAGCAGTTGGTCAGGTAAGTCAGGGGCACCGCTAACTGCTGACTGGACACCACGGCAGTGCGGGGTATCAGGCTATCGTTCAAAATTACACAGCATGTTCAGGGTGTTTTAAGTTGGGGTGCTGAAATTTTAAGCAGCAAATACGTGACGTAAAATGATTTGCATTTATTTATTTATTTTTTTAGAGTTTACATCAGAGTGTGTCATATGCTTTAAGGAGGCAAAAGGCTAGAATATATACGTCTAATGTATGATAACGGACATCAGACCTCTGATGCACATCCCCTCTTTGCTCTGAACTTTATGCAAATGTGGCGAGCGGCGACCAATCAGGTTATTGATATGTGGCGCGGTAACCGATTATGTCACGCCCTCAGTTTCAGGGCGAGATTTAACACTGGAGCGCGCTCTGAGTGGGAGAAATAACGGTTGAGAAAACATCTCTATTAAGTTAGATGATATTTTATAACTTTAAAAACTATATTAGGATGGTCTGAGGCTCAGAACTGACCTACAGCTCTGCGTAGACTTTCCCTTTTTGAGCCTCAACCTGCGTGTTTCAGCGATGCGACCCAAGGCTGGCAGCAGTTGGTGAAGGAAGAGGTTTAGCTCGAATTAATGAAAATCCATCGTTAATTTAAACAGTGCACGGCTACGATTATGAAAATATATTAATACAATAGAAAAGTAAACTCTACATTAAAAATGCAAGCACACATAGGTCTTTAGTACTCTCAAATTATTAAGTTTAGATCTCAGTTCAGATTTTTGTGTTGTTATTGTTATCATTATTATTATTATTATTATTATTAGTAGTAGTAGTAGTAGTAGTAGTAATAGTAGTTGCAATCCAGAAATCTGGGGGTGCTGTAGCACCCTCAGCATCCCTGCTCTTAAAAAAGATGTAAAGACAGTGGTTCTGTATAAACCCATGGACTCTCAAAGAACCATTTCATGCTTAAATGGTTCTTTGCATGATGAAAAGGTTCTTCAGATTGATGGAGAATGTGTTGTAAATGGTTCTATAGAACCTTTTTGAAAATTTTATATAACAAGCTTGACTCCATAATAGCAGAAGCCATTTTCAACAAGGTTCTATATAGAACCATGTACAACACATTCTCCATCAATCTGAAGAACCTTTTCACTATGCAAAAAAAACATTTAAGCAACAAAAAAGAGCTCATGGTTCTATATTAAACCTTTCCCTTTACCAAAGAAACCTTGAAGAGCCATCCATGTTTAAGAGTGTAGCTTTTCTGTGTTCTGGATTTTTGCTTTAATCTCAGGAAAGGATTGAGTGTGAGAAAGAGAGAGAGAGAGAGAGAGAGAGAGAGAGAGAGCAGTATTTGACATTATCGCTGCATGTTTGCTGTAACAAGTCATATTTCACCATCCTGTGAGTCAGAGAGTTCTGACCTACCATAGTCTAATATAATTTCAGAATTTTTATATATCTATCATTTGCTTAGTAGCATTAGACTACAGAAGTAAGAGAAAACAAGCTGCTGTCTTGTTAAGAAAATCCACTGCAAAGGTGTCGAGTGCTAGCTAAAAGTGGTAAGTGGGTTTACACGTTTCACTCAAGACCCACAATAGAAACTGAGAGAGAAAAAAAAAAGGATGATACACCATTTTGTTGTTTCGTTGCTTGAGTTGTTTTTCTGCTGAGTCATCAGTAAGAGGTAGAAATACAACATGATTTGCTTCCAGTTCACTTTCTCCCTGTCAGTATTTACAGGGAACCTGGAGCTGGGAAAGGCGACATTAGTAACATTACTGGCCAAAGGTGCGGGATACGGTATATATACCAATGTGGCAAACCTGGATGGAAGTAGTCATTAAACCTTTGAATAATTTTAACAGTTACCACTAATTTATAATGATTGGTGCAATTTTAATAGATCATGTCATTTGATTCCAGCCTAAGTGCTCCTTGAAGAGAACTAAATATACTGTCTTCTAAATCAAAATCTGTACATATGCTGGCCTCAGTTGACTGATGGATCCCTGCAAATAAAAAACCAATGGTGCTTGGCGTGCCATTGCTAAATTTGGTAGGCACTGAATGACAAAACAGTGCAAATCGCGATCTTTCACTCTCACTCATTATATCTGTTGTGACGTTTTTCAGTGATTTGCCCGTCACGTTTGCCACTGACACTTTTTAATTTCTTCATCCCTCTTCTGCAGTATTCATGATTGATTATTTTTTTCATTATTTCATTATTATTTGCAGCCTCCTTTTCTTCCATTTACTCTTTTCCGTGCTGCTTATGGTGCATCTCGGTACTTGTTAGAATAGTGTGAAAGCAGCTGATGTTACTTCATCACCTTCTGGAAACTGCAGTTAACAGCTTTTCAATTAACCTACTGCAACAAAGCAAAGCTGAAGGTTCCTCGTTCCTGTTAGTACAGGGATCATAACCTGTGGGCCGTTCGCTTCAAAGATGCCTTTGTATGTGGACAGAGACATGCACATACATGCAAGCACACATGCTAGGGCTGAGCAATATGGCCAAATTATGTTGCTGCATGTTGTGATTGTGAAACACTTGCAATGTATTAAAAGCATAGTGGATCAATAGTGTGACATGGATAAAGATTAGCCTGTGTTTATTTTCGCCAAAGTAATTCACGTGTTTTGGATTACATGGACACCTTAGTTCATCAGAAGCACTCATCTGGAACCAGAGATGTTTCATGTGAGTTTTTTTTCCAAGTCTCTGAAGTGCATATTCAAATCGAGTCTTGAGTCTTTAGCAAAGAATTTCAGTCTCCTTATTAGCTGCGCCTGTCACCTTCGACACCTTCGCCAGTCTTTCATTACAGAAAAACCTTCGGTCTGAAGGACTGAACTGAAGCACTACACACTGTAAATACAGTGCTTGAAAAGGTTGGTTAGTCTGTAGTTTGTCAGTATGCTATCTAACTAGTATAATGATTAGTCCAGCTGATGTTGTAGTACGTTTTCAAGGAATGTGGTATGTTAAATGCTAAAACTTCAACTAGGTAAGTTGAGAACTTCAGCTAAATGAGTTGTTGCTAGTTTTGACTCTTGCCTTTAAACACCACATTTACTGCATGTAGTGTTTCGTTCTTTCCGTCAGACTGAAGGTTTTTCTAGCATGAAAGGCTCATTATTTTAAAACCTTATCAAACCTGATTCCTCTGCGAGCTGCAAAGGAAATTGGCAATACATAAATATCTCTAACTTTCTTACCGCTTTGGGATAATACCCGCGTTTTTTGCACTTTCCGTTTTCCAAAAGAATGAGTTCAGCCAGAATGTCGTTGAAGGTTTACAGCAGATAGTTCACTTAGTAAACAATAAAAAAATGTAAATAAGGAAAGGAAAAGAGAGTATTTTCCATCCCAGCAGTGACTATAGTTGCCAAGGTAACAACGTAAATTTCCTACAATACCTACAGTGCAGTGCCTTTAAATCTCAACACCATGCATGACCATAGTAAAACAGAAATCACAGGCAAAAAACAGGCAAAATCACACATGTATGGTTGGAAACAAAAGGTTTTGGCTTGTTCACTGCATTAAGATTGACAGTCCTAATTCAGTCAGTCTTAAGTGTCGAGTCTGAGTCGAGTCATGAATCAGTTAAGCGTAGGCCTGTGAATTTCTACCTTTAATTGATGTTTCGCGGGTAACAGATGGAGGGGGATTATTTTTCTTTGCTTTAATGTTTCTTACTGTAATTTTGTGGTTCCTTACGCTGAAGAGGATGTGGGAGAAAACACAAGGAGACCATGTGAGTTGAGTTACAGTTTAAATGTCATTTTTAATTTGGCTACAAAACTGTAATTTATATAGTAAGAAAGTACAGAGCTGTGAAAGTCACATGAAGTTTACCATCTGAGACTTTGTGGCCATTTAGCTTAGCCCTTTACTTTCTTCTCTGAAGCCATTTTGCCACTTCTCTGAGACCTTTTGAAATGACCCATTTCTCCTGATGAATGAGAGCTGAGACATGAGACATGAGACATGCTCATGATTTTTTCCCAAGACCAAGTCATTTTTCATTTTCTTATCCAGCTTCTTATTAAAATTTTTCATTACAACTTTAATACAACTATTTTCACTGATGCAGCCATCTCGTCTATTAATCTGTTAAAACACTGGGCGGTGGTGGTTAGTGCTGGCCAAACATTATTATGTTCTATAGTAACAGCAGCAAACTTATTGAGATTTGGTTTACTGAAATGCCATTTTTTTGTTTTTGTTTTTGATTCTATCTTTTGCAGTACTCCTTTTATACTACTCCTGTAATACGATTGATGGTCCATTTACCTTCAGGGTACGCATCATCACTTGCAGCCCGCTCTCCCAAATTTAACAGTGCACAATAATTTGCATGTCCCGTTTAACAGCCTCACCATGGTCGAAGTGTTAAGCGCACCAAGACCAATCATAGAAATGGCTGCAGGCACAGAGTTGTAATGGGATTCAGATTCACTACATGTGCTTGGAATGAAGCGCTTAAGCTGCTGAAAGGGTGAAAGACCATTCCGTTTAACGGCTTTTTTACCTTTTCTTGGGCCCCAGCTCACTCAGGCGTTTGGTGAGAGTTCAAGCAGGAGTCACAACCATGGAGTTCATAATATTTAAATTCTTCCAAGCAGGATTTTGGCTTCTTTAATAATGCATAAGGCATTGAAAGAGTTATTTGCTGTTATATTTTTCACGCGAGAATGTAAATGGATTTGTCAGCAACCCTTTGCTGCTAATGACCCTGTTTTTCTTCTTCTGTATCCCAAACATCCCAGAATTACATTAGCTAGCAGGAGGATTCTGCTGAATTTAGAGCCGATTGACCCACATGAGTGAGCCCTCTGTGATGTTAGCCTAGATTGACTAAACTATAGAGCAGCGGAGGATTTCAAGCATTGTCATTTGCCTCTGCTATTTACACCGTCATTTCAGGCACTTACATGTGCTGAAACCTGAAAATGACACCTTTTGAATCCCTTTATAATGACCTTTTTGATGCTTTTTCTAAA